GGGGAAGTGGAGCAAAAGCGGCGATCGAGGGGGGGAAGCGGGGCAAAAAGAGGTGACTGAGGGGGAGTGGTGACTGGGGGTGGGGAAGCGGGGCGAAAAGCGGCGACTGAGGGGGGGAAGCGGGGCAAAAAACGGCGACTGAGGGGGGAGCGGGGCAAAGATCGGCGAGCGGGGGTGCGGGTGCGGGGAAGGCGGGGCAAAGACCGGCGAAGGAGGACAAGCCGGCCGGCCAGGAACACGCGCCGGTGAAGCCGGGAGAGCCCTAGAAACAGGTGGAGGAGGCCTTGCCGGGAGGGGGGAAAGAATGGGTGCGGGAGGCCCCAGGGGAAAGGCACCAGCATGTGGTCGCAATAGAGGGGGGGGGCGAGAATGGCCATGCCAGCCGAGTGACGTGGGAAGGGGGGAGGTGCCAGAACTGGAGCGGGTGGACCGCGGAGAGGAGGAATGCCTGTGTCTTCGTTGCCGCCGAGATGCCTCGCCGGCCGTCGAGCTCCTCCAACCATCACCTCTATGAGGGCAATTGTCACCAGTGAGTGTCCCACCGAGCCGAGTTACTCACCGTAGCTGCCACGGCGCCTCTTGTGGGGAGTTCGATCAGGACCCATATTGCCTATGGGCTGCGCAAGACTGACGCCGGTTAGCGATGAGTCGCTCAATTATGGCATCCACGGAGCTTACACATACCTGTGGTATGGAATGGGCGAATGGCGACCGCCGCGGGGCAAGCGGGAATTGGCGACGGTCAGGGTCGGAAGCCACACAGATTCGCGACGCGCGGGCGCTGATGCGGGTGAAACACGCGTGGGAAGCAATCACGTGAATTTGATGCGCTGTCAAACATGCCTGAAGATTCCGCGGCTTACATAGCCGTTGACTCAATTGCGCCCCTCCGCCTCTACACGCCACACAACGCTCGACGGCGTCTCACAGTTGACGGCATGTCGAAGCCCGCCATCTCGGAAGACACGGCTAAGGTCGTGAAGGACAGCACCGGCTTTCCGCCGATCACGGAGGAACAAGTACTCCTCCTTTCCGCCTACGTACATGCAGCGATTGAGGCACCGGAGCAGAGCGTCCGGCCGCGCAGCAAGCGTTGTGCACTCTTATGGTGAATCCCACGAGACTCATCCTCGAGTAGGTTACTGATTCTTCGCAGAAGAAACATTGGTATGGCATCGTGCAGGCGGCTAATGCAGGCAGTTTGAAGATGCCCCCTTTGTTGGCTTCCGCTCTGTACCTTTTACTATTGAAAACAGAATTTAATCTTGACAACATTAGGGCGGATATCTGCCCCCTCCGACGCAGATACCTGAAAAGTATATTGTGGCTATGGACATTGAACGCTATGCGGCGCGTGCGCACGAATGGTGGAAGCCAAGTACGCCATCCCCTTAGCGTCTTGATTCACTCGCTTACAAGCACTTCAGAGACGGCCGTCGCACCCGTCTCAACCAGCGCGGAGGGAGAAAGGCCCACTGCGGGACCCTCGGATGGTAAGGATTTGGTATTCATTACTCAGTCTTGCTAGAAACTTACAAGGGGCTGACTCCGCAGAGGTCGGCACCGCCACCAGTAAGAAGCGGACTCGGCCGATGGACTCAGCGCCGGTTGGCGAGGCGGCCGAGGGCGTGCAGGAGAAGAAGCGGAAGCGCATTAATGTTGTGAAGCCACCCGATGTCGTCAAGAGGGGGCAGGGGTTGGGGAAAGGCGGCAAGGCTGGGCTCAAGTCGAGGGCCCGCGTCGGCTCGGATGAAGAAGAGCCATTGGCAATGGCCGAGGGGATTCACGGCCGCCAGACAAATGCGGGGAAGGGGGCCGCGGATCGCAAGGAGGCCGGGCCCTCCACAGCGCTAATGGAGGTCGACCGAGAGGAAGAGGTGGCGCGCGCCGACGGCAACGGGGGTACGGCGCCTCCTGTAAAGGCGCCTGTGTCGGTGCAAGTCAACGCTTACGAACTGGCCGAATCAAAGGCGAGGGTTGGGGACTTGATTCATCCGGTGAGTTGCGCCGCTTTCGGTTCACCAGCGGACCCTGATGATTTAGCCCGTGGAATGCGACCGCTGCCTCCACTTGGGCAAAACGTGCCTCTACGTTGTTGGGGCGCACAAGAGGAAGCCGACCCACAAGGTCGTGATGGCTCGCTGCACGGGCTGTCAGACAGCTAAATCGGCCTGTTCGCTCGTCCCGCGCCACATGCACGACGGGCGTGTCTTCAAGAACAGCATCGCAGGGACGGCCGCCGCCGAATGGCGAATGTGGGTGGCCGACCGGAAGGCCCAGCGCCTACCATACCCGGACCTGCCGGTTTGGAATGGGATACAGGGGAAACCCGGTTCTTGGGTCGTCGACCTGGATACCTGGGACAATACGGATAAACGGGTCAGCGACAAGCTGATGGACTGGGTCGCCGTGCGTCGGTCCGCCTTAGCACGGGGCCAACTTATAGAGCCTCCCAAGCTGGACAGGAAAGGCGACACGGAGAGCGAGCCAGAGAGCGACGAGGAGGGTCACAAGGCCGAGCCAACTTCGAAGAAGCGGAGTGCCCGGAAGAAGGCGAAACTAGTCGGCCGAGGGATTTCGCCCGACAAGCCAATTGATCTCGACGAGGACGCCGATGTGATCAATTTGATCGAAACGCCCGCGGACGAAACGGGTGGCGAAGGCGTCGTGCCTGTTCCCGAGGCGGTGAGTTTGCCCCAACATCTTTTTGAACCAGTCCTCATGCCTCTCCGTAGCCGAAGCGCCCACCATCCCACGCCGCTGGGAAGAGACCGGCGTCTTCTCCGGAAGCAGCTCAGGCGCACCAAGAGGACGACGTCATCTCGATCTCAGATGGTGACGAGCAGACTGACGCGTTCGCCGGGCTGATTAGAATGTCGCCCGTGCCATCATCTCCAAGCGCAGCCCACGCGGGGCCCTCCCTGTCTGTGCCCCAGACGTCGGCCACGCCGTCGGTTCCCTCCCTGTCGTGCCCGTCTGTCAGGCCACGCGTCGGTTCCCGCACCATTGAGTTTACAGGCAAGGCAGGAGGCGGAGGGTTACATCCGGTTCCTGGCGACGCAGGGTGTAGCTACGCCGCAGGCCTCATTCAATCCTGCCGACGCGTGGGCGAGTATCATCCTCTTCCTCAAGTATGAGAGCGAGAGGCACGCAGTGCTGCAGGCGAGGGTCGAAGAGGTGGCCAATGGCCCAGCGCCGAGCACTGGTCCCACGTGGTCTGAGGTGGACAAGATACGCGACGAGTTGGCTCTCACAACGGGGGATATGGGGCAGCAAGTCAACCAGCTTCGCGAGGAAGTCAACCAGCTTCACGCGGAGAAGGCGCAGCTGGAGGGCGTCATTGCTGACATTTCAGCCGACATTGCGACGATGAGGAGTGGAGTCGAGCAGGCGTGCACACTGCGCAGCGACATAGACCTTGTCAAGGAGGGGACACTCCAGGCGATGGATTTGACTCTGGAACGCGTTCGAGAGATCGAAATCAAAATTCGCGACGACATTAATCGCGTGGTCAGAGTGCCCTCGGCTCCGCTGAGCCCTCTGACTCCAGTGCGCCTCCTAACCCCATCACCACCGTCCCCCACCGCTTCCGAGGGCGCGGAATCCGTTATTTTCGCCCCTCTTCCAGACTCGATCCCCCGTCCAGCTGACGAGAACAAAGCCCACGACACGCTCTCCCCTCCCGCACCGGGCTCGCTACTTCCGCCGTTGCCAGAAGTTGACGAGCCAGTCGAAGACGCAGCCCCCACATATAAGAGGGCGCTGCCGGCAAGCCGGATCTCAGCAGGCGCAGCGCCTGGCTGGAATAGGCCCACGGGCTGGGCCATGAGATCCCCCGCCGCCGTCGCCTATTTGTCGGGTTCGGCGTCTCTCCCGGAGAGACCGCGCACACTTTCCCCCGTATCTCGGAGTGTTGAGCAACCCGACGTTGCAAACGGCCGTACGCGCACGGCATCTACCTCCTCAGCAGCGCGGGCCACCGCTCAGGAACAAACGGAGCTCGACGCGTTGTGGAGGCGCGGAAAGCCGCGAGGTCATCCAATCGCCCCTCTACTCGGTGGTCCGACGTATAACGCTCAGGGCTCAGGAAGGAAGCGCCCCCGAACCGGCGAGATCGACGAAGAGAGCGACCAGCTGGCCTCCGAGTCCGAGAGCAAGACGGCGCCCGATAATCAGGCTGGGAGGAATTGATGGACCAGGGGGAATAATGCCCAGCCTTTTCAGCAGCATCTATATCATGTATTTTTAACTTACGCTAGCACTGAGATTGCTTATCGCACGATCTGGTTGAACTCATGGTTATATATGTCAAGAACACGTACGCGCTGCCAAGAAGGCGCACTGGGATGCGTGGCTCGAAGAGGCCGACGCGAAGTCGATCTGGACCGTGGGGAAGTACATACGCTCAGGCTCGAACGATGGCAGCAAAAGCAGAGTGCCACCGCTGCACCGCCAGGGCAGTGCTCGACTAGAGCGCGAGAACGAGGCGAAAAGCCGCGTCCTCTACGAGACGTTCTTCCCACAACCCCCACCAGACCTCGAGCTCCCAGACCCGGACGCTGAACACTACCCTCCCCCGGCCTTCGAATTCGCACATGTCTCGGACCATCAGATCCACGCTGCCTGCCACCGCCTCAAGGAGTTCAAGACACCAGGACCAGATGGATACCCAACGAGGTTTACAAACGGTGCGCAGATCTATTAGTCCCCTTTCTCGGCTGCCTCTTTCGCGCTACGTTCGACCTGCACTACTAACCAGAGGAGTGGAAAATATCCACAACAGTCGTGCTACGCAAACCTGGGAAAAGCGACTACTCGGTTGCGAAATCCTACAGGTCTATAGCTCTCATGAGCTGTATGGCCAAGATCCTGGCTTGAAGCGGCGCCGAGAACAGACACCACGACACTCCCATTCTCATCTCACCCCACTCGACTATACACACCCTACCTTTACACACATGCCTGAAGCTCCGGCGGACGGTGATGCTAAGCGACAAATGGACACGAGACTCGATTGATTAGAATTAGCACGTACTGTCTACATAGGGCTTCGCCCTCAGTGACAATAAAGGGATCACAAACAAACAAACATGTCAAGAACACGGTGCTAAGACTCATCTGCCATCTTGTTAAGATCGCCGCCCCCGACCGGCCGCCAGTAGCGTCTTCTCCCTCTGCTTGTTGCGAAGTTCTTCACCACCTTCCCTCAAGCGACTCGAGCGTCGGCCATCCTGAATCGTTGCCGGAACGTCATTAACCCTTCGCTTCTTTGACGGGGGCTTCCGCGGTTGTCCAGATGATTCGCCGCTGGCTGTCGGCCTCTTCGCGGAGCGAGCGCTGGATTTCGGCTTCTTCGCACCCCGCACGTGCGCGGTGTCACCCTCTGGCCCTGCTGGGTCTTCACCTCCGCCTCCGGGCTCGCACTGCTTGCTTGCGGGAATCGCGATGCCCGTCGAAGGGGAACCCGTAGCGGCGATCTCTGGCTCGCGCTGAATCAGGCCTGTTGAACTGCTCGGTGCGCTCAAGTCCGCCGAAGCGCTCGGTGCACCCGCGTCCTGCTCCGGAGCAAGTTCGCTGAAGTCGGCTTCGTTGGGAACGGAGGGCCAATCATCTGGGTGTGGCGGCAATGGAGCGAACATAAGGGGAGGTGAAGGCGACGTATGCACGACGGCAGCGGCAGCGTCAACGGCGAGACGGGAACTATCAATATCGCCACTGGCCAAGGACCAGCCGCTGAGCCCCACTGCATTGAATCGTGAAGGCGGATTGTCCGTTCCGCGCGTCTTGCTCTGATCCTGACCGAAAATCGGTCCCGATATCGCCGCGGCGGGCTCGAGTTGCCTCAAACCCGGGTCTACGTCCTTAATTGAGGCATCAGGAATGGAAGAGATAAGTGCAAGCATGGATTCATGCGTGGTGAAATGTAGGTGGCTCTGGGCGACGAAAGGCGGAATGTGGGCCGGCAGTGGTTCGTCTGGGTCGTCAACGAAATGGCTACAGTGTATGTCCCGCAATGCCATCCCAACTGCCAGCAGCACCTGCTCCACGATTATCAACACTGCGACGTCCCCCGCCATCCAAGGCTTCCTCTCAAGCCATCGAAGAAGCGGTGCCAGGCCGTCATCGCGAGCATGGGTCTCCCTGGGCAAAGTCGACTGGCCCCAATCCCACGAAGCCCAGGGCGCCTCAGGAAGAGGCGGTGGTAGGTAGCCGGAGACGCGTTTTCCTCGCCCGCCCAATCTGCGGGCCGCGTTGAAGTAAGCTGCGACGGCAGCGGTATACCTCCGGTCCGAGCTAAGACTTGCAAGAAAGACTACGCGTTTCTGGCCGCTCGAGATGCTGCGCGGGGCCTTCCCTCCAAAGGCGCCGCTCTTTGCGCCCGCGAAGGCCGGCAGCAGCTCGGCGTCTTCAATCTCGGTTTCGCTCTCGTCGGATTCCTCTTGGGGAGAATTTAAGGTCCTCGTCCGGTCCATCGCATCACTACCATGCGAGGAACTTTCCTCGCCCATAGCGGCGCGCCAGGCTTCCACGTCGGTGTCAGAGTCGGACTCCTCTGAAAAATCGGCTGCCTTTCGCTTGCCCTTCGCCTTTTTGGACATCGGCTGGCCCCCACGCTTTGGTGCCTTCACCGGCGGACGTCGCTCTGCCACATTGTCAGCCAGACATAGATGCTTAGCTGAGGGCCAACACTCACTCCGCATAGAGGCTGCCGTCTCATTTGGCCCCCGCCCGACGCCTTGCTCGCCACTGGGCGGGTCGCCCTCGCCACTCGCTTCTTGCCTCCGCGCGGCCTCCTTTTGTTGCTCGGCCTCTCGATTGGGGGCTTCCTCCACCCACCGCGCCACATGCGCGTCATATTCCTCCGATACGACACGGGCGTCCCCATCAACATCGTCAACATAGCTATGGAACCTGAAGGCCCCGTCCTCCCCCTCGTCATCTTGCAACTGTCTCCACAGGCGAACAAGCCGAACACAGTTCGCCTTCTTGATCTTCGAAGGGTCCTCAAAATCAACGTCGTTCAGCCAAAACTTGGAATCCAGGCAAGTCGGCGACCCATGGCGTTTCAGCTTTGCCCAGGGAAGCGCCTCTTTTGCTCCGTTGGAGGCGGCGGCTACATGGCGCGTCAGTGCTGACGCCTTTCAGCTGGTCGATAGCGCACCGTAATGCACGGTAAGGAACTCCCGCACAAGATGCTGCCACCACTGCACGGTCTTCGATGCATTGGCCTGTATTTCTGCGACGGTCGGAGGAATGGGGAGACCAGTGTCGGCATGTAGTGGCAGGAGAACCCCAAAAGCAGATTTCGGCTGCGCCTTGCTCGCCTTTAGACCAGGCAACGTCGCCAATGGCTTGTCGTCGAGCACTGCCGTCGTCCACTCATCCCAGTCGGACCACAGGCGGGTCGAGTCCCAGTCGGAACGCCTTGTGCGATCGGAAAAGCCAGACGGCGCCCCGTTCGCCTCATTGTGGTCCGCGCTGTACAGACAGTAAGCGGAATTCGCGGGGAAGGCCAGGCGAAGAGGCGTCTTACATGCCAATAACGGCCCCCTTGTCAGAAGTGCGGGCTCCCCACAACACCGTCATGTAAATGCCATCTTCCACCAACATCTTTCGTGTGAAAGTCGCCAATTTGCCGTCAATGGCCCGGCCGATCAATCTGCAAGTGGTCAGCATCCGTGGAGCTGACGTCCCCAGCGAGAACATTCACTTGAACGGCTTACGAGGCGGTTTAATCTTAACACCCTCCTGCTTTACCAGCTTCCTCAGGGCCAAAGCCCTTCGACCATACTCTGCTTTCTCCTCCTCAGGCACAGCACGCCATGCTCCCCATCGCGCCATCGTGTATTGGGGGAACGGTTTCGATGTGCCTTCATTGTACGCCATGTCGTGCACGTCGTCTTTATTCTCGTTGAGCCAGATGTCGCACCCTCGCGTAGACCCGCTGGCGCCACCTTTCTTCTTCCTGGTCGCCTTCGGCTGCGAGTGTTTGGCGAGCCATTTCCTCACAACCTGGGAATGTCACGACACCGAATGGACGTAGATACACGCATTTCAGGGCTCACCTCGATCCGGTCCTTGTTGGACAAATTTGCCAACGCGCCCAGCGGCATCTCATTCAGCTCACCCACCGCCTGTTCCAGGACGGAATCTCTCTCCGCTTCCTTGCTCAGGCGGAAGGCGTTGGTAAAGCCATCGAGGATGCTGAGTTGGCCCTCGTCGAATTCGATATTTGTTGTCTTCATGATGCTGCCTCTACGTAGCTCGACGAGGGACAGTAGGGGCTGAGCCGAGGGTATGTGCCAACTCACAGCCCTCCCCAGCGCTCCCTCGGGTGGCCAATCATCATTACGGCCATTTCAATTCTGATATATTGCTCCCCCCCCAGGTCATCGGCAATGGTAAATAGACACACCGTACAGTCTCCCACTGCTACCATTGCGTCCCTATCCCCCATCTGATTGCTCACGACACCCGCGAGTCGATTTGCGTGCTGAAGCGAGTACGCCGCATGCGGCGGCGGACATCTGAACAAGCGACCTATGGGGTTGTACTGACACAGCGAGCGCAGAGAGAATGGTAAGTACTCACTACAAAAGCTGTACCGAGCCCTCCGTACCTTGTTCCTGTATCCCAATCTTTGCCTGCCTTGTCTTCGCTTCGTATCCTCTCCTCATTGGCCTACCTCATACTCGCCTCTCCGTTTCCTTCTTCATTGGCTGCCTCTGTCTTCCCTCTCGCATCCTCTTCCCGTCGTCACACGCAGTTCCGTACCTCACGTCATGCCTCGTACTCGCCTCCAAATTCCTGAGTCGGACCTGCCTCATACTCGCCTCCTATCTCTCCCGTCCTGGTTCGTTTTCGCGTCTCTCTCGTGCCCCTCTCGCTGGCCCCTCCACTTCTCTAGTGACTCCCTCGCCCTCCATCCCTCCCTCGAGTCTTCAGAGGCAGATCGCGTTCGCTGTGTACGCGGAGATCGTCGACCGAGACGCGTCGGTGACGCGTGAGGCACGCATGACTCACGCGGTGTTGACGGACGCAGACCGTGTGCGGTGACGTGGCAGCAACCGGGTGGCCGGTATGGACGTGGACGACGCCGGGAGGGCGTTCGGGGAGTCGAAGTCGGGCGCCTACGAGATGGAGGTGGTGGTGAGTGAGTTGCGCGACGAGCACGCAGCGGGCTGAATACGGACCTTATGGGTGCTTGTGTAAACGTTACAGAGCGCGTCCTGGACATATCCGTACGGCGTGCAGCGCGTGAAACGAGGCGGGAGGTGGTAGGGACGGCGTGAGCTGGCGGAGGGACGGTGTAACGCGACTCACAGACGGTGTAGTGCGAAGGACGGCCCCAGACGTGTACGGGGGCATAGTAGCCGCGTAGGGCCGTAGTCCAGAGCGACTAGACGGCTGTAGGTAGCAAACTGAACGCAGGGACGATCCCGGGCGCTTTTGGACGCGTCTCACCGAACGTCGTGTAGCGCGGTGTCCCGCGTGCGGCGGGGCTTCGGAGCACTTGGGGGTATTACATACGAGTGTTCAGCGGCCAATGCGAGCTGTTTTGAGGTGCACGGCGGGCGGGAACGACGGGGACGAGGGCGGGAGGAAGTCGTGGGCAAGGCTTTAACAGGGCGTTCGACTCGATAAATGCGCACGATAAGTTGAGAAAAAGACAAAACTCACTTTCTCGAGCGCGTTTCGTGTGGAAACCGGGGATTGGGGGTGTCGACAGACTCGCATGGGCAGCGCGGATCCGGCTGTGCCATTCAAGTTGGCGAGCGCGGGACGAGCGCGGGAAAGGCGCGGGGCGGGGAGAACGACGGCAAGAGGATGAGGGAGGGATGCACTCGGGATGCGCAGACGGCGCTGCACAAGGGCACTCGAGGGTGTTGGAACGACGTCGAGTGAGCGTCGAGAGTCGGTGAGGGCGCGTTGGAGCGGGACTGGCGAGCCAATGAGCGTGCGTGGAACGAGGCAGGCGTCGGCTCGAGCAACGCAATAGGGACGTTCAAAGTTGCTGGAGCTCTGGAGCTCCAGCTGGAGGACGCTGGAGCTTGGAGCTTGGAGGCGGCGGTTCTCGGGGTTTGCCGCTAGGCTTTTCCGAGGCGTGCGCGCTGGTCACTGTCACACGCCGGTAGCATGTGTGACTTCCCTAATGCAGTATAAGTACCATACACGCTCGATGCTCACCACGCCTTGCATCTAGTCTCTTCAGAAACACTGAGGCAGCTCGTGAGCTCTTTTGGGCTGTCGTAGATAAAATAGGTGCACCACTGTGCGACACGAGAATTAGGTGGCCGCAGTATGCTGACTAAGCTGTCAGCCACCCACAAGTTAGTCCGATGTAATGGGCAAGGTCGGCTCGGGCGGTCGTAGTGGCTACGATCGCACGGGACGGCGGAATGAGCGAGAACGGTCACAGTACCAACCCAAATACTAGTGTTGGAAAGGCGAGAAACTACGGTACAGGCTGGCACGATATATCTACGTGCTGACATAAGCATGTGGCGCGCCCGTTACATCCGAACAGCGCGAACGAGTCTCTGTGTTTCATAAATTACAGCCACGTACTGTAGTTTTAATATTGCTGTAATGATCAGATTGTATGCTGTGGGCGAGTGATGCTCCGATCCCCGCTGGTGTAGGCTGGTGTAGTCGGTGTTGGACGAGCTGTACTGCCTAATTGGGCAAGTGCATCGTCGAATCCCTAAACCGACATGCTCAGAGTGTCGTGCAGTGGCGGCAGAAAGGTGAAAGTGCCAGACCGTGAAAACACCTCCATTCAAGACTACTGCGAAGAATCCAAGCCTGAATACCCAGCCTAAATGTCCAATAGGCCTCGTAGTATTCGCGCCACACACTGTGACATGACATAAGCACACTGTGGCTGGAATTTCCGGCGAGACCACACCGGTCGCGCGGCTGACGGCATCCCCCGAGGGCGAGCTCCAGCCTCCAGCCTCCAGAGCTCCAGAGCTCCAGCAACTTTGAACGTCCCTAATGCGCGTCCATTGGCGTCTCCTGCCACTGTGGGAAGGGGGAAGCATGAAATTCAATGACTATCGACGTTCGAAATCAGCGCCTTAAGCATTGATTTTTCCAATACGAGTGTGTCGAACATTGAAAATGAGTGTTCAAAATGAGTGTTTTCGTACACTCAACCGTGGACATTTTGTCTATTGAAAATGAGTGTTTGACTGTCTGAAATTGCTCGTCGCGCACAATTCTTCTTGCTGTAAAATTTACATGCTTCGCAGTATGGCGTACCATTTGAGGCAAAAATAAATGCATTCTATCACAAAGTTACTCACCGTATCTATCGCACTTACGCAATTCTATCACAAACTTATGAAGCCGTCTCTCTATCAATGCGTGGTCTTCATTCTATTTAAATGTTGCTCGACGAAAAATCTATCTAACTTTGGGGCGTCGCGTTTTCTATCACTCTTTTTCGGCTGCCGGTCCGGTCCGGCGCTAGCGCTCGACGCGTCGCCGGACGCGTCGCGCTCTGTCCTGCTGCTCTCGCGCCGACTCGCACGACGACCTCAACCTGAGCACGCAGTCTACGCAACGACTCGGACCTGGCCGTACGCACTCAACACCGAGTGCACCGAGGGGCGCGAGGCCACGCCACGCTTTGGCAGTCGAAGCGCGCCAACGCGCGACACGCCGCATCTGTCCGGCCGGTACGTCTGCGCCCCAGCTCGACCCTGGCGTGCTCGACCCAGCGTTTTCAACCTACGAACGGCCTTCGCAGCCGACACACACCGTATGTACACACTCCGTGCACACTTCGTGCATGCTTGCTACACTCTCGCCCTCACACACGACGTCTCGCTAGTGACTCCTTCCTGACCTCGCCCATCCTCGCCCAGCCCTCCGCGTGGCTTCGGATCGTTACCGAACCCTGCGCAGGCTATGCTCGAAATGGACGCAAGTTGTCCGAGCCGATTCCGCTCCCGGGACGTGGCGTGGCGCGATGTTCTGTCCGACCGGTACGTCCACGCCCAACTTCGACTCCACTCTTCCACCCTACAACCGACTCAATCAGACCGCTATGTATGGGCCGTGCCGCGTTATACACGCCTGACAACGTCGGCGCATGGACTCTGCGTCGACCGTTGTGCGGCTTGCACGCACAATGGCGGTGCGCCCAACCTCCGAAACAGTGGCGCATGGCGCATCCGCGCCATGTTCAGTTACAGCGCCATACATCGCGCGAGCCGCGACGATTCAGTGAGTTTTGTTTATGCTACTCCCTGTGTATCTACTGATCTCGCCCATTTCCTTACAGAGAGTGCCCGCCCTCCGTCCGCGCAGACGTGCTGCGCCGCTTCCTGCGCCGTCGCTCTGTATGGGGACCGGAAACCTTGCTGTATGAAGATGAGATGCGCGAGGTGTGGGATGGAGAGTGGGATGTCGGGAGGGCTAGGTTCGAGGAGAGATGGTGGGATGGTGCCGAAAGAAAAGCAAGGATTCGGAAGGAAGCGAGGATGGGCCACGCCAGGGGTGGACGCGCACCGTGATGACCACGCAGTATGAGAAGCGAGGATGAGGAGACTATCGCTTGAACAATGTATCTCATTAGCTACCTATGCCTGGCTAAAGGATGCAGATCGGGCACAAATCGTCGTTACATTCATAACCATCTTCGAGGCAAAAGGTACATAACTCGTCGCCACACTTCTCCTCAACATCAGCCTCCATACTCGCAACCCACTCTGCCTCTGCCTCTGCGAAGTTGCGCCCAGCGAGGTACTTCTTCCAGGTACTGGCGAGCCGGGTGCTCGTCACCAGCGCAATGCCAGCTTGGGCGAACGGGGGAACATCGTCCTTCTTATCGGGACTCCAATCGAGTAGGCTCGTACCGTGATCGTGCTCAGGCATCCATGCGATCATGGTGTTAGGTGCTTGCAGGACCTTGACACCGTAGATCGCCTGGTAGAAGCTACCTCCAGCCATGCCTTCGCGGCGCGAAGTCGTCCACGAGAAAGCCCACTTCTGGCCTTGCTTCTCCCGGTGAATCGCCCTGCCAGCAGAGTGAGCATGGGGTTCAGCAAGAGTAGGGGTATACAGTAGGTACTTACCGAGCGTAGTTGCAACCGGCGACACCTGAAGGCGGTGCCAGTTCGGCGTTGTCGAACTCGACGCACTCACTACCCCATTCTGCCATATAGATGCCTCGAGCCTTCTGAGCCTTCTCCCCGTCGCCATCCATCCGGCACATCTGATTCTCGACCAGATAAGCCTCGAAAGGCCCCAGCACCTCATCAGGAAGATGCGACTTAAGGAGGTTCCAAAAGAGTGCAAAGACGGATGAGAGTCGGAAGTTGTGCTCTTTGATGAACTCTGCTGTATGCCGCGACGACCGCAGATTCTTGGACCAGTGAAACGCGGGGTGGCTCCGTCGCGCGTTGGCGCGCTTCGACTGCCAAAGCGTGGCGTGGCCTCGCGCCCCTCGGTGCACTCGGTGTTGAGTGCGTACGGCCAGGTCCGAGTCGTTGCGTAGACTGCGTGCTCAGGTTGAGGTCGTCGTGCGAGTCGGCGCGAGAGCAGCAGGACAGAGCGCGACGCGTCCGGCGACGCGTCGAGCGCTAGCGCCGGACCGGACCGGCAGCCGAAAAAGAGTGATAGAAAACGCGACGCCCCAAAGTTAGATAGATTTTTCGTCGAGCAACATTTAAATAGAATGAAGACCACGCATTGATAGAGAGACGGCTTCATAAGTTTGTGATAGAATTGCGTAAGTGCGATAGATACGGTGAGTAACTTTGTGATAGAATGCATTTATTTTTGCCTCAAATGGTACGCCATAGAATCAAGGTTACGACGAATCACTCACTCCAAAACGAGCAAGTGCATCCGAAACAAACACAACGCCTACACAGTAGGCGAAGTAGAGACCGTAGCTAACCTGCGAACACAACCCGGACACATAACGCGAAACGACTGCGTATGCACAATGTGCCGAACACTACGAGAAGAACAGCAATGCGAACACCCAGACGCATGCGCAAAACGAGCAATTGAACTCATAAACCAACTACCGACAAAGTGGAACCCGAGATCACCACAGCCGGAAGACATAGAAGAACAACAAAGACAAAATCGCGAAGAAAACCAAAACAACGAGCCTGATCAAAATGACGCACAAATGGAGAATGCGCCAGAACAAGAACAGGGTGAATACGACACAGAACAAGATGATAAACACCCTGACTGGGAAATCTTCGACCCCATCATAACAACACACGGCTCCCTGGGCGATATCTTCAGAGTATTCACCACAGGCGAGACGACCAACGAAGTGATGAACAAACAATTATACGCCCAAACAGACAAAGCAATAAAGATGGCGACGGATGGATCATGCATAGAAAACGAAAACACAAAACAGGCCGGAGCCGGAGGCTTCGCCGGAGAACAAAACCCGATAAACTTCTCAATACGAATACCCACGAGCATAAGACAAACGAACCAAACGGGCGAACTGATAGCCACGAAGGAAGCGGGTATGAGAGCACCAGAGAACCGAGAACTCGATATAATGAGCGACTCAAAACACGTAATCACGGAGGCGACGAAATACCTGCAGAAACACGAAGATGAAGGGTACATAGGCAAGGAAAACACACCTATAATACGATCAATGATCGCTACCCTCCGGAAACGATCACCGCAAACGAGACTCCGATGGATTAAAGGCCACAATGGTCACAAGCTGAATGAAGGAGCGGACCGCCTAGCAGGAGAAGGCGCACATAAGCCAGACCAAGACGAAGTCAACATAGACATACCGCACACACTACAACTGACAGGGGCGAAACTCTCAACCTTGACACAGAAGTTAGCATACAAAGGAATTCGTCAACACGAGATGACCACGTACAAAAAGAGAACCAGAACACAAAACAACCTCATAAAGATCGCAGATTATATCGAAAATCACTACAAGACAACACCATCGGAGGAATCGATCTGGAGAAACATTAGACATAAAGACCTCCGAAGAGAAATCAAATACTTCCTATGGATGGCGACGCACGACGCGTATATGGTGGGATCCAACTGGCTGAGAACAGGATACTCAGACGAGATGAAAGCTAGACATGAATGTCAAACCTGCGGCGTAGAAGAGTCGATGGAACACATACTTACCGAGTGCGAAGCCCCAGGACAAACCGAGATATGGAATTTAGCAGAACAATTATGGAGGAAGAAACGAGATGAGTGGAACAACCCGCTATTAGGAGGAATCCTAGGGTGCGCAGGAGCGATGTTCAAAACCGAAAAAGGCGCCCAAATCAAAGGAACCGCGCGACTTCACAGGATAATAATCTCCGAATCAGCACACCTTATATGGAAACTGAGAAACGAAAGAATCATACGCTTTGACAATGGACGCCAGCACACCCAAGCAGAGATACGCAACAAATGGACACACGCAATGAATGACAGACTGGCTATGGACTGCCACCTGACGAATAAAAAGAAATATGGAAAGAAGGCAATCAAACCGAAACTCGTAGAAGAGACGTGGTCAGGAGTCCTAAAAAACGAAAATCAACTGCCGCATGACTGGACGAAAGGGAAAGTTGAGGTTTTAGTGGGTATCGAGTTCACATAAGTCGACAAAGGGAGGGAAGCGCATCGATGACTAGTTGGCGTAGTATCGATGCGCAACACGCGACTGAACTCACAGTAACGAGTCCCACACACCGTGCGTAATTGCATTTCCTCAACGGTGGTACACAAAACACATGTCTATGCAAAAAACTATGCTATTATGGCTTAATGGGGTTCTAATCCCCCGTACTACAGCGGGTAATCTGGAGACGACTTGTCGACTGCCAGACCCAGCGCCCACAGGCGCAACGCTCCACAAAAAAACAAAAAAACGTTGAACGTTGAACGCTCCAGCCCACGCCCTGCCAGTTCTCGACTGCTCCCTCGCCCGCTCATAAGCTGCTGGCGCGCCCATGTAGTCCGCAAGCTCGTCCAGCATGTCCTCCAACCAGTACGACGTGATCATCGTTGGCGCCGGCATGGCAGGTTGCGCGCTCGCGCAGGCCCTTTCCACCCTCAAGGCCTCAAGCTCAAGCGTCCCGCGCCCCTCCGAATATGCCTCCTCGAACGCTCGCTCGCGGAGCCGGACCGCATCGTCGGCGAGGCGCTGCGCAGGCTCGGCATGGCCGCCTGTCTGGAGGGCATCGACGCCGTCCCGGTGCGTGGCTACTGTGTCGTGCTCAACGTCAAGCCCGTGCACATCCCCTACCCGGACGGCTACGAGGGCCGCAGCTTCCACACGGCCCCTCCATCCAGTCGCTCCGCAAGAAGGCACGGGCGGCGTTGGGCGTGGAGACCGTCGAGGCGACGGCGTCGGAGCTGGTCGAGTGTCCGACGACCGGGCGCGTGCTGGGTGTGCGGGCGACGCGGAAGGTTGAGGGCGGGGAGCAGGCGGCAGAGAAGGAGACGTTCCTCGCCGACCTCACTATCGTCGCGGACGGCTGCTTCTCGAACTTCCGAACTGCGGTTTTGGACGGCGCAGGTATGAAGTCCGTCACGAAGAGCCATTTCGTTGGCATTGTATTGGAGGACGCGGAGTTCCCGATACCGAAGCACGGAACGGTGGTCCTGGTGAAGGTCCTGGTGAAGGGCCATGGGCCCGTTCTCCTCTACCAAATCGCAAGTCGTGACACACGGATGCTTGTCGACCTCAAGACCCCTCTTCCCCCTGACATCGAAGTGAGTCCACGCCTCCTCCACCAGACAATCCCTGTAACGCCCTCTGCAGCAAGTCATCCTAGATGAGATTGTACCACGGTTCCCCACCGCTTCAAGATCCCGTCTACGCTGCACTCTCAAAAGACCGCAGTGACTCCGGCGCATGCCCAACACGTTCCTCGCGCCTGCTGAGTAGGGCCAGCACACGAAGGAGGGCGTGTTCCTCGTCGGCGACTCGTGGAACATGCGACATCCGCTCACGGGCGGTGGCATGACCGTCGCGTTCAACGATGTTGTCGTCCTGCAGGACCTTCTACGCGAGGTCAATGGCCTTGGTGACTGGAGAGATCTTGCATGTGCTCCATCGGTGGCATTGGTGACGAAAACAATTCGCGTCGACTATCAACATTCTGAGTGTGGCATTGTATGATCTGTTTGGGGCTGATGGTGCGTATCCTTGCCGATGCGCTGGAGTTACGCGCTAAGCTGAGATGTGCAGACGAGGCCCTGGAGGTCCTGCGGATGGGCTGCTTCAAGTACTTCGAGCTAGGCGGTGACTGCGTTCGCGACCCTGTATCCCTCCTCGCTGGGTACGTTCCCGCTCCCGCGTCTCTCACAGCTGTATCCTGACGGCACACATCTAGCATCGAGCAATCGACGCTCCTGCTCGCACGCCACTTTTTCGCTGTCGCGTTATACGCCATCTGGGTGATGTTCACGCACCCGCGGCGGATCGTCGTCGACGAGAAGGCGGTGTACGTCAAGCCTGGCTTCGAGGAGTATCCTATCTTGCTCCTCAAGTGCATCCGCGTGGTGAGCAATCAACTTGACGACGTCTGCTCAGTACTTTCTTGACTGGTGGCTGGCGCTCCGTACAGTTCTGGACGGCGTGTGTGGTGTTTCTGCCACTCGTGTGGACGGAGATCCGCTGGTGGTGAGCGCCTCGACGACATCGTAGCATCAGATCTATGGGGAGGAGGACCAGTACATCCGCGTGCGATCTGAGGGCGGGCGCCTGGGCGAGCGCGTGCTGCACAAGATCGGGCACATTTCGTGAGTCTGGCTGTATCCTAATATCTAGTTGGCGCACAGCTTTCCCTGTGTATAGGTGACGGGCGGGACTTCGTTCGCGTGCAATTGACGTGCTGCGCAGTTCCCGTCTTCCTGGCTCTCAACAGCTTCCAGGCTTCCCTCGCAGCATCAAGTCTACGCTATGGACCCCCTGCTCGCGTCTCCGCTTTCCGCGCGTATTCGTAAGTACTCGCCCAAGTCCGGCGTTTGAGCGACCTCCTCACAGTCTGAACCTCCCGTGTCGCGTCCAGGACAAGTCGCGCTCGTCTGGTAAGCGTACCGCTGACTGTTTCGCAGGTTCCCTCGAGTCCCGCGCCCGCCTCAACAAAGCAGCTCGCCAGATCGCGTGAAAGTCGACTTCCAACACGATGAGTCACCGCTCGGCCGTGTACTGACCAGGTGGCAGCTCCCCACCTCGCGGGACGTGTCAAACACGTCGTTCCGGCGGCAGCTCGGTGTCCTCAACACGCCTGACTAGCGGACCGAGCTCTTCGACAGTTCGCCACGCCGCCAGTTCGACCGCAAGTCCCACGTAAGGCCTCGCCCGTCTCGGATCGGGTAGCACACGTAAGCGCGGCCCATATGCACCATCGTGTCCGGCTCCCCTGGCATCGCTCCAGGCGAGCTGTCCGTGCTGTTGCATGCGGCGCCAGTCCTGTCGATCCCGTGCAAGTCCGGACGCTCAAACCGCCGACCGAGGCGAACCGGTAAGTGGGCTGTTCGTCTTGCCCTCGACGATGACCGACGTGCTGCTCCAGGGCATGACCGGACACCCGCATCGAGACAGGCGCGGTCCAGACACTCCAGCAGCCTCCCGACTGACCGAGATAGAGACCCGCAAGACAATCCTCAAGATGATCGATCGCGGGCTTGCCATACCGGGCAAGCGTCACGCGTTCGAGCTAGTAGGTGACCGAGCTGGTAGATGACCGAGCCGATCCGCGTCGCGTGAAGAGCTGCAAGGACGTGACGTTGACCAGAGGAGACTGGTGCGTAAACGGAGTGCCCACTGAACGCTGCCGCTATTGTGTAGCTGGACATGTCAGCCGCATAGTGCGTTAAGAGACCGTGTCCCAAGGGCTTGAAGTCTCTGAGCTGACCAGGGAACGAGGACGCGGAGGTTGTCCGCAGAAGACGGACATGTCCATCTCGGGATAGATTACTCGCAGGTGTCGCAGTCGCTTCGACGCGACCGCAACCCGGACCCGGAGATCTGCAAGCCTCGTGCTCCGAGCCAGTAGATGACCGGACCATCGTAGATCCGCGTCGCCTGAAGAGTTCCAAGAGCGGACGAGACATCCGTTGTTGTTGGGACTGGTAAGCGAACTCGGTTTGACATCGCCAACAAAGTCCTGACCGAACTCGAGGGGAAGTGACTGGCTGGGAGCGCGAAATGCGCGTCAACCCGGAGTGGTGATCTCCGGCAAAGGTCCAGGCTGTAGAGTCTTGTCACTGCGGGTGTCGTGCGCCCGCTAGGGTGCGCTGACGACCGAACGAGACGTGTCGTGCGTGCGGATCATGACCGGAGATCGGTGCCGCCTGTTGTCTTCGCACAACTCAGACACTGTCCACTGTAAGCGATACCGGCTGCGGTAAGACCCTGTCCCAAGAGCTTGATGCCTGTAAGCTGACCAGTCAATCAGGGCACTGTCAGGCTTTCGGCAGAAGACCATACCTGATGGAGACGCCCTTGTCAACAGCCTCTGCGACATGTATGTGGCCCGCAGTCGTCGACATACGCCAGCCGCGGCTCAGGATCGCGCCTGTGTGGTGTAGACGTAGCTGCACCGCAGCCTTCGGGAAACGTACCGGCCCTCGACAATCACCCCGAGCCCACCCATAGCCTTTTCAGGCTTCTTCTATGTCTCCTTCGCTCGCTATCGTCCGCGCACGATGGCGGCGGGCGGGAAAACAGTGGTTTTGAGATGTGCAGGTGATGCCGTAGGAAGTGCACCGGGCCCTGCGCCTTGACGAGTAGAATCCAACGATATAGAAATCGGGCGATTTGGAGAAAGCGTTGTCGAGTTATGAGCCGCGCACGTCGGGAGGTCGCAGGTCGTCGGGGCATGCCAATCAGGAAACCCCCCCTCCCTTGGCTAAATAGCCCTAGAATAGTACTCACCGCCCCCTACTGCGCCACTAATACACCTACTCCTCACTACTCCTCACTCATGTTCACTACGGGTACCCTAGCCACATCCATGTTCTAGTCATTCACGCGTGTTCTCGACACAAACGCACCAAAACGATCGATACCTCCTGGACACGACTTCCATTGGTAGCCACATAGTACGAGGTAAGTCGACAAAAGGCGGCGCGACATTGCAAGTAAAGCATTGAGCATACATGAAACTAGGTTATGTAGAAGGCGTGAGGCGTGCATGCCATGCACATACATAGTACCCGCGTCGCGGTGACCGCTCCTTGAGCGCTTCGGCACGAACGCAGGTGCAGCCTCGGAAACAGCATTACTCGTCCGTCTCGCACATACTTGCTGATCTGATGGTTTTGTCAAGTCAGCAGAATGTACATACATGGTATGATAGCGACTCGGGAGCGTACACCCAGAGGAGGAACGAGGATAAATGACATACCATGCTCGTCGGTGCAAGGGCTCAGTCGGCGCTTAATACCGTTCACTGTGGTCACGGCGACGCGATGTGTAACCCTGACAGGTCCGATGTCCGGTCTGGCGAGATGCTGATTGCCCGCAGTGACAGCTGGTGAGATTCGATACAAGCCGTGGTTTGCATCTGGCCTTGTGAATGCGGTGAACCATTCGACGACGATAGTATATGCCAGGTGCGACGGAGCACGTGAAGCATTGGGGAACACATCACTGACTTGTTTTGCAGGGACCTTGAATATAAGTCGCACTCTACCAACTTTCAAGCAATGTTGCGATGCCAGTGAGGATTCATACTGCTCGCGAAGAAGAAAACCACGCACCATCAAGTCCACCCCTACCAGCATTGCCGTCGCGCACAAGAACCGTGTCGAATCTTCCTGGTACGCTGTTTTGTCGAGCAGTGGATCGCTGCGGCTTAGCGTGCACAACATCATCAGTGTCTTCTCCTATCCCGAGACCTTGGTATTCGTGCAGTGCGAACTTGATCTTGTGCCAGACTGGAACCTTCTGAAAACGAAAGTGAACTGAGCTGGCCTCTCGCTCAAGCTCGCGCGGATTCGTGAGTGCCGGATTATTGAAGCGCACAACAAAACGGGCTAGGGCAGCGCGGCGAAGGTACGTTGCACCATAGTCTCGTGCAGCAGCTTCGAAGTTGAGAGCCTTGACAGAGGGATACTTGGACATCTTCATCACGGCTACGACGCGTTTTGGTTCCCCATCCTGTGGAGGATGCCGTGGAATGCTGTGGACGAGATCGGAGGTGACCGGTGACCGGTGACCGGTGACCATATAGATGGCCGCCGAGCGGTGTTAGATGGTAACAGACGGTAACAGACGGTAACCGAGAAAAAATCTGTTACTTTGGACAAATTGCCTTTACCAGCGATCACCGTCTGAAAGTCAGACGGTAACAGCTGGTAATCGCTGTAAAAGTTGCAGGTTCTCACTGGGCCTGAGGCCTGAGGCCTGAGGCCTGAGTACTGAGTACTCAATGATCGACTAATCGGCCAACGCTTACTTTCATGGTGGGAACGCGAGCAGCGCAAGAATGCTGAGTTCTATAATAGACGCTTGCCTGCTATTATGGTCTGCAACGGAGACTAGCTGAGTTCCTGTCAAGCACGGCTTGCAGAGCATCAAGCTCAGAAGCGTGTTCGAGAAGACAATGACGGCGCAAATGGCATTAATGACGCAAAAGCCGCGACTTTCGTGCTCGGACCCTGATAACGACAAGTCGGGTGTCCTGAACGCGCTGGTCCGCCGGGTGCGGGATGCGGGATGCGATTCGCATGGAACAGTGGCACGCTCTAGTCTCGTTCTGTCAGACATTATAGCGTTGACAGGTGTCGGCGGAGATCGAAAAACACATACCGCAGCCAGTTCTGGAGGAGTGTCCGATGTGCAGAAAACAAGGTTCTGAAAAGGCGCCTTCGCTCTGGTACATAGCTGCTTCGTTTTCCGCAGGATCGCCCCGCGCTCAGCGCTCATGCCTGTCTCCTGCACCAGTACTGAATCCATCCCCGACCTGACTGGCCGTCCAGAGCGTTCTAGAAATGCCAAAGGTCTGTACTTTACACCGCAGCACCCGCACCCCTTCTGAATGCCGCTCTCAGCCCAAGCGCGGCATCGTGCCAAGCGCAAGGCGTATATAAAGCAGGCAAGGCTGGTATTGCAGCAATCGTTCAGCCGACACTCATTCCATCAACTGCAGCTTGAGACCACAGTGACGAAGTTACAAGCCGCACTTACGCTTTCTCTAGAGCAGGTTGCGGCCCTTCCCGCACCTGCCAATCCCGCCCGTGAGCTCGTGGAAGAGAACGAGGTTCTCCATCGCCAAGTGGACGAACTTCGGCGGCAGATGGAGGATCGCAATTCTCGCCTACGCCCTGACCTTGGGCGGCGACACGGCACAATCGCTACTAGCCCTTACGTTCGGGGAGACTACGACACGTCGAGGCGAAGGCTCCCAGAATCGCAATCGCAAGTCTATTTGGTGAGGGTCTCCTCGGCTATCGCGTGACGTATCCACGCTGATTCGAGGCGCATTCGCAGCATGCGCAAAATGGCCACACTCATAGCCGTCCTCCGCCATTATCCATCCCTTCGTCAACCTCCTTCCAGACCCAGCCGTCGCAATTGGGAGTATACCCCGGATTGACGTCGTCGGCGCTCACGTCATATGGGATGTATCAAATTCCTGGCATTCCTTCAAGCTCGGGCACAAGCACCGCTTCGATTTCTCCGTTCTCGGCGAGTGTCTGTTCTTCATGCTGGCCATGCGCCATGTGCAGAGAACTCGGGATCCTAGTAACAATCATATTTCACAGCCCTCAGGCGACTATACCCCACCGTCGACGACCATTCATACGCATCACCACCCTAGCTTGTCCGCGAACTCGCCCTGGCTGCTTGCATCGTATAGACAGGTGTCAGGTCAGTACGAGTATGCCGAGGTCGAAGAAGATAAATGTGCGTGCGACTAGCATTCGGAGTGTCAGCCAATATCTGATACCATCTTCGTTATGCTGTATCTCATGCGAACGGGTATCCTACCTCGTTGCCTCAGTACGCGGGTAGCCAATTGCCATTGAACCATTGTCGAACCTACTCGACTCAGCGGTCATGACTACCGTGTTGAGCGAATGGTACCCGATCTTCCATGCCGTGGGCGTGTCTTTGTGGTTCTCCTGTGTTTATTTTGGTCTTTCTGCCACCATGTTTCAAGTTGCTCTCTTGCATGTTATGGACTCATATGGTCCTTGAATGCGATACTTTCTTATGCATTGAACTCGGCTGATTTTCCTTGACTTAACCTCAAAAGGCTTCTCGCCGCGTACACAGTAGCTTTCCCCGCGCGAAGAGTCGTCGACTACTACATCGAGTCATACAAGACGCTCGCCGGCTTGTATGGTCTGCAACGGAGACTAACATCGAGGGTACGGTCTGGGTAGCCTGAGGTGCTCAAATTTGTACGGTTGCGAACCTGAGCCCTGCTAGCGCCGTGCGCAGGACCGGCCCGGACTCCGAACACAGCCGCTCTCGATACTTGAATGCTGCCGCAGAGCTAGTCTACTTTTCGACGCGCTCCCTTGTCGACAGGTCGGTATTTTCAATCGCAGTTTGAATGTACGTAGTGGATCGCAGGCGGAACCTCAAGTGTGTGGCTGAGCTTGTGGCGGGTGCGTCTGTGGCGGAAGCAAATATTGCATTGTTCTCGTCGCGTACTACTACTAGGTCGCCGTCTTTTGCACTGCTCGTCCTCAGCTTGAAGATAGCGACTTACACCGCTATCTACCGTTTCTTTCCGCGAGGAGACGTCCTTCAGCTAAAGGTTCGAAGGTTCACCCCTTGCGCGTTCTAACAGTGTTCTTGATGTCCCGTTGCGCGACGACTCCGGACACGAGCACGCAGACAAGGATGCGTGAAGGTTTTCTCGCTCGTCCATCGAGCGCGGCATGCTCAAGAAGGCGACGCACGCACTTGAGTGAGCGTTGTGTGCGCGACAAGTAGCGATTCAAAGGTCTGTCCCTCGCCGCCCGTCTGCGACCTAGCGCACTTTACAGTCTGGATAGTTCATCAAGCGAGTTTGGCGTGTAGCGGAGTCACTGGAACGGCGTGTTTCACAAGCTCGCCATTCGGTTTGTCCTCCATCTATCGCCCGAGCCTCTGGTCCTTCCCACCCACACTTTCTCGTGTGCACCTACTCGGCATGCCCTCTTCTGGATTCTCGCTTGCCTCGGTATGTGTCTGCGGTCTGGAACACTGGCTGGTAGCTGACTCTGAGATCAATTGCTGGACCGACAAGGCGGCACCTCCTGGCGGCGTGCAGCTCTAGCGACACACTGTCCGGCCGCGCGAAATCAGCCACCATAGTGAAAGTCGAGCTTCGGGTACAAGATGTCAATGATCGTAGTGTGCACGGGATGAAGCCTAGGGGGGAACTGCCAAGGAAGAAGGGATGGCGAAGGTAAGTACAGCAAATTCGAAGCTTCGAAGCCGAAGTACGCCCCTGCAAGCGACCGTTAACCCGCAAACTCATCTGTCTGCCCGCACGCGCGTCCACTCGCCCATTTAAATGCTCGTGCGCCAATCCGAACGCTGTCCCGCACGTTCGCCCGCTCGCACACAGTCGCTTACCTATCCTTGTGCTCAACGGCTTGGGCGCCCGCTCGCCTACGCGCTTGGTTGCCCGTGCGTTCGTGCACTCGATTACTCGCGCGCACGCCGCTCATCTGCCCGTGCACTCGTCCATCTAGCTGCAAACATATCCCCTGGCTCCTCCGCCTGCGCGCTCGCCCGTCTGGCAGCCCGCCTACGGTGCCACCCGCCAGCTCGGCCACCCGACTGCCCGCCTGCCCGCCTGCTCCGTTGTATGGCAACTCAGTCATTTGTGTACCTGCCTACTCGCGTGTCTACGTCTTCGTCTGCGCTCTCACCAAGCCACTCAGAGATATATTAATATTACTGTATAGTCTAATATTTTGCTGGGTTCAGTGCACCTGCGCGGTGCTGATTGATGTCATCGACACATAAGTAGCAGAGATTCTGTAAAGAGGACATGTACAGCGACATCACGGATTGCATAGCAGAACATGTCATAACAGATTGTAATGACCGAGACGCGCCTCGGACGCGTCAGAGGAGCCAGCGAAGGTTGAAGGAATTGTCTACTCTGCCCACGGGAGACTACGCAGAGCACTCTCGCGCCTGGCTCTACGCAGCTCCCTCACATAGCACATAGTATCCTCTCCTCCAAACTTCGAAAACTCAGCGAACTCCGTTGCGAGGAAAACCCTGGAACCATCTCAGATCCAGAATACGATCCATCTGTTGGAACCCAGTGTCGACTCCGTAATGGATCCCTCCTCCTCCTCCTCCTCCGCGCTTCGCGGGAGCATAGTGATTCGGGTTATGTGGATGTTGTTCGGCTTGGTTTCCGAGTGCGAGTCAGCTGCTGGACTCTCGGCCACTGAGGTAGAGCTATATATCGTACGTTCAGTCCACGTTCAATGCGCAGACTAACGGAGCGGATTCGAAGTGTTGTGTGTATCATCGTTCGCGCGAATTACAAAATACAAGAGCGATTTCTTCTACTTACGGGTCGTAACAATTCGCCAAGAGATTAGTCACTACATACTCAGCCTGAGAACCACGCGACAAATCCCTAAGACAGTGTCGTCGGTGATGATTATTACCATCGGATCACACAGCCGCTGCGCACCCCAAGTCGACACGGAGCTAGAAAGGTATACAAAGGGTCGTATCAGAACATTGCATACGTCATGCTACGCTGGACAGCGAATAGAGCGGGATGATAGTAAGGGGACAACAACTACTGAGGGACGGAAACAGGATGGGGGGCAGGACACCGTACATGTCCACCAGGAATATAAACATTATAATCCAAGAAATAATTTGACAGCACAGTAGCGGGTGGGCGGGCGCGATGCCTATTCGCACCGCGAGCGCCTCCACACCGACACACAGCGTTCACGCTCTCAGAAGACGCAGGCTACCCTCCGACTCGGAACGCATGCCCGCACGCCGCGCCCGATCGCCGCCCGTAGCACCCAACTTGGCTGGCGGAGCAAGGACTCCGCCGGGTAAGGATGGGCACCGTAGAGACTCAAAAGGTGCAGAGGCGCCAGAGGCGGTAGAAGAGGAAGACGCCGCTGCTTGTTAAGTATTGGTGGACCGACTCGCGGAGGCAGATTCGCATCCGCGAAGCGCCAGAGATCCAGGCGGGCGGCGGACGAGTTCGCTTCTGCTGCATTGCACTCGACCAACGAGGCGAAGGATGGGTGTGCCACCATCGAGATCGAACCGTGCGGCGTCGCACTGGCAGTGACGAAGCTACGCACAAGTTCGTTCCATGCGTCAACTTCGGAGCTCATGCCGGGTCTGTTGGTTCGGGTCATGCGCACGCTGGTCCTTCTCGCGCCGCGTCCTAGCGGTTTGCAGTGTGCGGTGCCAGAAGGGTCGTTGAAGCGGGACTTGCCTGCGTCAGCACTAACCTCCACGAGGCGTTGGATCAGACTGTGATCAAGTTGCTAGGAAAAAGACTGCTCATGCTGCACGCACGGCCATCCGAACGGTCGCATTTGCCCAGTATCTGCTGGTGTGACACCGAGAAATATCCAGACAGCGCAAATGTGTATTGTCCCGAGAGTACATCCAGCAGCGTAACAAAGTAGTCGGTATAGGGGCGGGCAAGATGAGCGAAGATTATACCTAGACAAGTAGACGAGACCAGCTGTGGGAGATCAGACCAAGATTGTGACAAAGAGTACGAAGAGGAACTTACGTTCAACAACGGAGACAAGGGGATCCGATCAGCGGGTAGATCAAGGAATAGGGCTGCTGCGAATAGTGTGAGAACCAGAGAAGACCCAAGACAGGTCGGACGTACCCGCACCGACTAGCAGGAGGAACGCATCCTTGTATGTTGTCGTACTACCCGCAGGCCGGCCGAGACGAACACAGCGAAGGGGCGGGACGCGGCTTGTTCCTCATCGTCACTGAGATGGAGTTGTAGCGCGGGAGGGAGGCTGCTGTTGTCGATAACGCCGGGATACTGAAACATGAGGCAGCGGCATGATCGGGCTTGCGGCTTACTCACATACAGACGAGGTACACGCGATCTTCTTGACTTGGGTTCATAGGTTGCAGATGGTGAAGAATTCGACATGAGAGGAGTGTGGGGGCAAAGAAGACGAGGAGGATACTACAAGACTAGACGCGGAGCCGGGAGACGCACTCGCACACGCTCAGCCAGAGTCTTAGATCACGTGCTACAGTGTGCGGACTCATGCAGTGAAGCGTAAGGCTACTATGCGTTGTCCTCGCACAATTCGTCTCTTTTACAGGTTTCTACATATATATCATACCCATTGCAGTCAGTACATGATGTGTTCATGAGAGGAGGCTGGGGCATACAAGGAGGATAATTGAATTTCGTTCGGGAGAGTACATGCTTATGTAACTTACTGCCATATACGGAATAGCCAGATGAGGCTGCGGGGCGCGGTCAGTTGGCCGACTTTCTCTATTCTGAAAGTTTCCTCAGATGGGAAACAGCTGACGCACCAGTATGTCAAGTTTTGACGTCGGTGTGAGTGAGGGCTCAAGGAGGATAAACAACTTCGTCCCAGCAAGAGCGAGTACTTACAGGCGCTCGTCCAAGTCACGCGCGCAACTCGATCGTTCGGTGATCAGCCACTAGCGCTAAGTAGCGTCCGACAAGCAGCGCCGTGTGGGTACTTAGTCTGGTGCGCGTCCGAGTCGGAGGACAGTGGGAAGGGAGACGAGGTCACTGAGAGGACACCCGGACACGCTGCGCAATGATCCCAGAGGAGCGATGCATAGGTCAGTAGCCGAGGACAGCACGGCTGGTGGTATCATGTGTGCCACGGAGTGTCCCGAACGGAGAGCAAAAAACCCATATTCGAGGCGAGGCTAGGGCGACCAGAACTCGGCGTGCATAAGTAGCTCACGCTCAGCCCACTGTAATACTCGAGTAGCACTGCATCGCACGACAGTAGCAGTCAGTAGCACAAGAATATGTTTGATCTGCATAACAGACAACCGACGCGGACGCCTGGTGAAGATGCAATCTCAGGCGCTTCGCGGACGCTAAATTAATCAGGTTTGCGGCTCGACCGCATGACCGACCTCCTCCCTTGCCTTCAGTCTCCTCGACCTCCCACACAGAGTGTCGACTTCTGGCTTCTGGATGCGGACGGGTGGCACCGTCACCGTCAGGCGTTGACTAGGTAAGCTGGTGCGTCATTCACCCCCATTGGACCTGCCGCTGGCCACTTCAGTCACGTTCCTGCAGAGGTCGACCTTGCTCTGGGGCCGTGCTGAGCTCTGTGCAGCGACATTACGTCGGAGCCGGCCGGAGACTACGTTGGCATCACCCGCACCGTCTCCTGCGGCTGCGAGACGCTCCTCTCCAACGAGGCGGGTATCGTGAACACCGGCACGATCCTGATCTACATCCCGAGCTGTGAGTATCACTGTCCCGTCCCACTCAAGGACGCGCTGACGGCGTGTTGTATCCCACCACCACCAGCCGCATACAACCGCTACGTCTCCGCGACCGACGCTCGACGATAACGCGTCGCAATACGACAGCTTCGAGGACCTGGCCTCACGATCGGCGGCACCGAGTACGCCTTCACCGCCAACGCTCGGATGTGGCCACGCTCCGTCAGTGCCTCCGCTCCCCTCTACACACCTACGCACACATGTTTGCTCACTCGATTCCCGCAGCTGAAACGCACCACCGACTACGTGTACCTCGTCGTGAGCTTGTGAGGCTGTGCACATCGGAGCGCAATCGTGACTAGATGAAATCGCCTCCCCCTCCTCGTCATTCGGGCGCCTGAACGATCGTCTCACCTGCGTCCGCCTGCAACTGCTCGCAATCCTCGCTCCAGCTCTTGCTCTTGTCGTGCTCTCCCTCGTCCATCGCGACCCCGTGGTCCCTTGTTGAACATTGAACTCTCGTCAAGTCAGCACGTTCCCAGCGGGCGATCGCATCCACCGCCACCCCCGCTGCGTGTCCCTGAAACCCGAAAGCCTGAGGGGCCCGTCCTCGCTCAAATCTGCACGTCGCGTGCTCCTGCGCATGCAAGACAATTCTGGCGGAGGAAAGTGGGCATTCTAGGTACGCGTAATTCGAGACGGGACCATAGGTGAGTTGTCACACCAATCGTCCCGAGTGGTGGTGCATGTTCCTCCTTCGCCCGCTCTAAGTTTCCTTGCCAGATTTCTGGCGCGTGTCTTGCCTCCGTCTGCATGCACGGTGCATCCCGCGGAGTTGACCTAACGCCTTCGATTCACGAGGGAAGTGGATGGCGTCCTCTATTGCCGTCGCGAATCACCCGCTCCGCTCGCTGATGTACCGGCATCACGCGCCAGTGGCTCGCTTGATGACTCGCAGTCCACCATTCTCTTCTCATGACCGCGTACAAACCGCAGCCTGGCGCAGTATCCGCCGCCGCTAGATCCCCATCTGCCGCGAGTCTTATGCATACAACCCTAGCTCGTCTCGTCCGCTCGACACCCCGCCTGTGCTACGCCCAGGTATCTCCGTTCTCCTGCTGTTCTCTCGTTCGGTGTCGCTTACACTTGAGTACTCGTAGGCCCGCACTGCATCGACTACCTGCGGTGTGTTCGCGGTCGTTTGTTGGCCGCCGACTACTACTGCAGGACACGCGTTGCTCTCGTAGTAATGCCAGGTGAATTTAACCTCCATTATCGCGAGTGATCGTCTCGTAGGGCCGTGTCTGCGCTTCTCCTTCCCAAAACCCCTCGGGGTTCTGCAATCCCTAACGGCACACATCACGCGCCTCGTCGCCATCGCATCGTTCCTTGTTCGCGTGCCTGCCTACTCGCCGGGTGCGAGTCGGGCATTTGCTCCAGCTCTTGCATCTTGCCGCCTCTGATGTCGCGAAGGCGACATCCGCTCGAGTCGCCCCTTGTGATCTCTTTCGCTTACCTCCAGCGGTGACACGCCGCTCGTGAAATTTTGAAAGTTCAGGGACATCCATGGAGTATTGCACATGTCTGGACAGACAGTGTCAGGTCAAGGAATAGAAGCTGATGCTGAATGGAGGTTGACGTACGGGGACGTCGAACGGGCTTTACGAGAATGGTAAGAGGCTCAGGGTGCGTGCACGAGGCACCCGATAATTGACAACTATGAAAAACTTGACATCGAGCTCGTTTCCACGATTGTCTGATGCGCGGATACTCAGCGCCTGTGTCTGACATGCATATTTCGGCACTTCCGAGGCACTGAAGACGTGCGTCAACAGAGCGGGAGATGTCACCACCGTGCGATCCTCGGGCACCACGGCAATGTCCTTCGACGCCACCTGCGGGATAGGCTTCGCGACCAACGGAGAGCAGTCGACATTCGTCGGCGGCAGAGGTCGCGGCGCAGGCAACTTGCCAGACGAGATGAGTCGGATGCCACGGGAGCAGAAGTCCTGCTCTTCGGTATCATTGGTATCGTTGTTGCTGACCGTTGTCAAATGGCTCGGCAGTCCGAAGGATCGCAGGCGGGTTGGCCGCAGTGCTGCTCACACTCTCGAATGAAGAGATCAAACTTACCTAACACCTTCGGTTCACAATGCTCGCAGCAGCAGTCACTGCTGTATGACCTGTAGCGAGCACACCGTTGATCCCAATATCATTTCTAAACCTTATGTTGAGCCGAATTTGGTAGCAAACCTCACTTCGAGGCCCTTTCCGCCGCGCCTTTGGGCGCGATCACAGGTAGCCGCAGGTGCACTGGCTGGCGAACAAGTTGGACCGCGATGGACCTGCGGCGGCTCCAGAGGCCACCGCAGGCGTGACGCGCTCACGTGTTCAAACAAGACGCGGTGCTGAGGCGTTTGCAGGCGTACGTCAAATTGCCAATCAATGTCTTTGGTCAAACGAGCGCTGACAGCTTGCCTCTCAGAGCGTATCCTTTTTTTCCACCCTCTGGCCTAGATCATACCTCGCCTCACCTCGCCCGGCCACACCACTCGCAGCAAATGGAGTCCAGAAAGAGGAGTCGAGTACTTATGGACTTCGTAGATGTGCCGCCAGCACCAAAATACCGGAGGTGCAGTGACGGCAAAGGGGGGGTACGATGGAGTCTTCATGCGCAAGCCTCTGGTAAGTTTAATCGCCTCAATTCTGAGAACGCAACAAGCTGAAGTCTGCGCTCGTGTTCAGCTCACTCAGACACATCCGAGACTCCAGACCGCTCCGATACTGGCAGCGTCTACGAGGACTCAGGTTCGCCGGGACCAGATCTACCTCTACCGCCTGCAGGTCCGAGTCCTGCCACCCTTTCAGCAGCACCAGTTCCTCCAAAATCTTCGCACAAGCTCGTGCTGAAGACCGACACAGATACCTTCTGGTACGACGGTCACCCATGCAACCATGAAGTAGACCACGCACACAGGAATAGTGCTCCGACCAGGGGCTGTGCAGATTGTTATTGCGCGGCCGTTGACTTTCTTCGTATTGATATACACACCGAGGCCTCATTTGCAGTTTGTTGCGAGACATTCTTTCCCCTAGACCACCTCCTTCCACACCTCGTGAACAAGCACAAGAGCATCTGCGGCGTCGGGGTGCTAGGAAAATCTTTCCAGGCGATCACAGCGAGAGCTGTGGAGCATATTGGTAGGATATATGGGCTGGCCAAGACGCTGTCTGATCTAGCAAGGATCAAACGCCTCTCGTATGGCCTGCCGACGCTGCCGGAGCCTGTACTCTGCCTCCAATGCCCATTCTGCAAGGGCTGGTTTGCTCGGCAGCTCGCTGAGAAGGGTTCCCGCTCTACCGACCCAGAGCTCAAGAAGAATCCTGAACAGATGGGCCGCATATCGCAACACATACGGAAGTGCAAAAGCGCGCGCAGCCAGGGTGCTACTGCAGAAGGCATTGCAGCAGCAAATCGCGCTCTAGCGAAAGTGCTCCCTACTCCAGCTATCAAAGTCGGCACGGCTATTGACAACGCCGAGTTGGTGTCTTGTAACCTGTCTGGTGTCGCAGGGATCCCTCTCTACCCTCGCGAAGGCGCCCCGCATGGTGCGATCCCTCAGCCCTCAGGCTCTCAGCGCAGCATCCCCCCGCCTCCGCCGCCTATTTCAACGTCGGCTTACGCATCGGATGGACCTCCTCCCTGCTACACCTCATTGGGATGGCCTGATTGGGTGGACAAGCTGCGAATCCCAGTCTCAGATCTCAAGCTCCTTGTGTCGATGCCGATTGCATGCCCCGACACCGAGGCCGAGGACGACCTTGAGGAAAAGATTCGGGCCCTAGAGCGCGGTCTGGTGCAGGTTGATAAATGGGTGCTTGTTTATCTTCTGCATGCTCGCGACTACGCAAATTCATGCCATCCTCAAGTGCGAAAGGCCATGGTTCAATCAGCGACGTGAGTTTTTGTTGTAATCGCGCCGCGGCCAAGTTGTAATTGCTCCACTCAACAGGAACAAGCGGACAGCATATCGCAATGTGCTCCGCAAAACTGTACTCAGGTATCGGAGGGTGCTGTTCCAAGCCATAGCCATGATGCTTCGCTGGCCACTGCTCAAGGAGCGCAGAACAAAGCTTCGGAAGCTTCAGCCCATCCTTCCATCGCAGATGAGTGCCCGCAACTCCCTCTTCGACTCTGTGCTTGGTATTGGGCGGCTCGGAAAAGGCGTAACCGATGCTCAATTGGTGGAAATGCGTCATCGTGTTCATGTCTTGGCCAGCTCTATTCTTCATGCTGACCTGGATGAGACACAAATCGTCTGCGGCGCTGTGGACATTGTGTCCGTGATCGCAACCTTGCGCCCTGAAGGCGGATGGAACCCGAACCCTAACGCAGTCACGGCTGTGTGCAGCGCGTGGCAGTTTGTATTGCGCTCTATCTCTCTCCACGACGCCAGACTCACCAGTCAGAAGAAGGTACTCTACGAGGCCCCATCGTGCACTGTTGCCTGCGATGACATCGGAGAGGATGAGGACGACGACCTTGACATAGTCGAGGAAGACGGGGGCAATGCGGCCGAAGTAGATGGTGAAAGTGATGAAGGCGAGGCAGAGGCAGAAGTGCAGGCTGCTGATCAATCCTTACTGCAGTAAGCCTAAGACTTCTCGCCCGCTCGCGAACTAACAAAACACATACTAGGTGCATATATGATAACGCAAGGTGGACTTCGCCCTTGCGAGTGGGACAGTCCACTTCATACAACCGAATGAAAACCGCCCACAGCCTGGTCCACCTCGCCGCCCTTGCGTTTCCCAGCAAAACTCGGTTTTCCTGGTCGATGGACGGGCAGACTGCCACCATGAGCAGCGTGGCAAGTGGATCGCAGGCGATACCAATCTCTAGCCTCTGCGGCGCAGCAGGGCATGCCACTGCGGAGCTTAGGGCCTCGCTGGATCGCCTACTTCAGGCATGCGGCCTCTCATTCTCTGATTTGATGCCGCCAGACGATCTGCTCGCAGATAGCACGATCGATCCAACCAGCTTCCTCGACTCCCCCAACTTCACCTCGCGCTTTAGACCTCTCGAGGATTCTGGCATCGCAAATCTCTGGAACGCCATCCATGCCGGTCGCGGCGACAGCGCCTACGACGATGACGATGTCCGAGACGACTCTGCCGACCGCGACACCACTCTGCGAAACTTCCTGAAGGAAGATTACATCTTCCTGCAGCTTCTCTCCACCACTGCACTGCTCACGTGTGGTAACCCGCCTCGCGGGTTTCAACTTGCAGAGATGCGCTATCGGGCGTACCAGGGTTCCCTGCGGAACCTGTATCTGATGTCGCACGCAGCTGTACTTTGCTGTCCAAGAGCCAAGGGAGTGGCAGGAGCGACTCAGGCATCCCTGTGGGCTCTCACTCACCAGACCTCCCAGGTCCTGATCGTGTATCTCAGTATCGTTCGGCCGATCATAACGCGGCTCTTGAAGGATCGGGGTTTTCCCTGCGAGGTCCTCCAGACACACCTGTTCGTCACGTCCTCACTGTCCAACAAGGCCCTTGTGCATGCATCCTGGACCACTGCCGACCTGAATGTAGCACTGGGCAAAGTCTTGCTTGATTCAGGTGCTAAGTTCAAAATCTCGGTCCATAATCTTCGCCAGCTCATACCCAGTATCGTCGCGCGCCACCTACCCCAGCTCGCTCAGGACAACAACTACCTGCAGGGGTCACGGTCGTCCGTCTTCAACTCAATGGCTGGTCATACGAATCAGACAGCAGCAGTGAACTATGGAATCAATCAGGCCACCCAACACACTGGTTTCAATATCTCCTCCGTCATAGGCGAGCAACATTTGATCATATCGCAGGTTTGGCTCCGACAACTTCTGCAAAGGATAAATCACTGCTCACTGTTTTTGCAGGCTTGGCAGAGCTTCATGTGCGTTGCTGATTTACCTGCTGAGCTGCAGGACATGTTTCCGCGGTCGTCTGAGGCAGAGCTGCGCCGGAGGCAGTGGATGGCCTTGGACCGGGCGCGCATACTGGTGTACACCCAGTATCTCCGGGGCATGCAAGGCGATGCTGCGCTGATCAAGCAGGAGATTGGAAGACTCCTATCAACTCATCCGTTCATGCAAGACGACGATCAAGGCAGTGTGAGTCGCCAATTGATGCATTGATAGAAGTAACTTCGAGTAAGCTGATACATTGTGGCAGTCAGACTTGGGCGATAGTGTCTTTAAGGAAATAGCAGCAATAGCACTATGGGGAGATACGAAGCCGCGAGCAGACACAAGACTGCCGATTGGCGGATTTGCAGTTGACCATATTGACTGTGCTCTGTCGCTGGTATGGCTTCACAATACTTGGCATTAGCTTGCCATTGTCTCTGATGCTTTGTTGTCTCTTGTAGTTGATTATCGCGCTGAAAGAGTGGGAGCTAGGCTACCACCAGAAGTTGGATTCTTTCACCTCCGAACATCCTGATTGGCAGAAGTGGTGGAGGAGTCAACTGGAGGAGTCGCACAGATTTCTCTGCACGATTAAGGAGAACAGCCCCGCTAGGTGGCTCCAGTTCAGCCGCAGCATCAAGGATACAGCCATGATTCCTCAGCAAGGTGGTGTTTCGCAGACGTGGACTGTAGTAGATTTTGGCTCCTAGTAATGCCAATGAGAGTATGGTACATTGAGTTGCCAGAAACCGACTTGTATTGACGGAGCTATCGTTCGGCGTTGATTGAATGATTCTACAAGTACTAGCACCGAGCCGCGAGCGACGGTCGAGTAGCGAGTAGCATCGAACAACGAGGCATTCTCCCATCTTTCTCGTGCACATCTACTCATTATGAAGGTTTTGCTGCGTCAATCAAGGGTATATAATGGGCGGAAGGAGGTCTTTCAGGTCAATTAAGCTGAGAGACGAAGGAGGATAAATGAAGTTTGCTCGGGCAAGCACAAGTCCGCGCTTGGGCGCCTAGACACTTGAGGAGGCGTGCGACTGCCGCGCCTCCTCCGACTCTTGAGCGCATGAAGGTGAATTCAAAGGCCAGGCTTGACTGCAATGGGCCTGAGGTTTGACTGTGTATACTACATTCCAAGCCAACAGACAGCGTGTCTATATTCTCACGCGAGGTGTTCCACTGCGAGTTACGAAGCGTGCCACACTCGTGTCGAGAAGGATTCTGCGCGTGCTGACTTGACGAGAGTTCAATGTTCAACAAGGGACCACGGGGTCGCGATGGACGAGGGAGAGCACGACAAGAGCAAGAGCTGGAGCGAGGATTGCAAGCAGTTGCAGGCGGACGCAGGTGAGACGATCGTTCAGGCGCCCGAATGACGAGGAGGGGGAGGCGATTTCATCTAGTCACGATTGCGCTCCGATGTGCACAGCCTCACAAGCTCACGACGAGGTACACGTAGTCGGTGGTGCGTTTCAGCTGCGGGAATCGAGTGAGCAAACATGTGTGCGTAGGTGTGTAGAGGGGAGCGGAGGCACTGACGGAGCGTGGCCACATCCGAGCGTTGGCGGTGAAGGCGTACTCGGTGCCGCCGATCGTGAGGCCAGGTCCTCGAAGCTGTCGTATTGCGACGCGTTATCGTCGAGCGTCGGTCGCGGAGACGTAGCGGTTGTATGCGGCTGGTGGTGGTGGGATACAACACGCCGTCAGCGCGTCCTTGAGTGGGACGGGACAGTGATACTCACAGCTCGGGATGTAGATCAGGATCGTGCCGGTGTTCACGATACCCGCCTCGTTGGAGAGGAGCGTCTCGCAGCCGCAGGAGACGGTGCGGGTGATGCCAACGTAGTCTCCGGCCGGCTCCGACGTAATGTCGCTGCACAGAGCTCAGCACGGCCCCAGAGCAAGGTCGACCTCTGCAGGAACGTGACTGAAGTGGCCAGCGGCAGGTCCAATGGGGGGTGAATGACGCACCGTAGTATGCTCGCATGCACACTGTGAACGACCACCGTTCACGCGCCTGGGTGGCCATCGTCCACGTACGTTGCGCGCCAAACGCTGTGGGTACCGTGGGTACCTGTTGAGCCAGATGAGAGAAGCGTGAGGCGAGAGGTGGGCAGGACGGCAGTATGCGGCGGGCGCACTCAGGAGGTCAGGAGGTGCACGGCGCAACAGGGCGCGCCAGCCTACTGGCTGCGAGTTATTGAACGTTGAACCTTGCCTTTCATAGCTTCATCCACGACTGTCGTCTTCCGCTCGGGTTCGCCGCCCTCGAGCCTGTCCAAGACTGTGCGCAGAGAAGGCCGACGTACTGTGATTTGTACGTGCCTAGCACCTGAACGTTGCCATCGCGCCGCGTTTTGCAGTCTATGAGCGGGGGAGAGAGGGTTAACGGTGCGGATGAGAATGCAGGCCCTCGACATAGGTGAGTCGTACCCACTACCCTCGAGAGATAAGCGCCTGTCAGTAGTACTCCCTCCGATACGGAAGTCTTTTATCCTCGTTGAACCCTCACGCCCACCAGCAGCAAAGCTTGAGGGTATGATGTACTGGTGATACTGTACCTGTAAAAACTTTCAGTTTAGCAGAAGTCGCCCAACTGACCGAGAAAATGCATTGGCCAGGGCCAACATCGCTCGCGAGGTGCGTGTTCTCCTTGACTCCCGCCTGTGCTATTTTCTGTCTACTACTACTGGTCTATCTACTAACTCTACCCGTCCGAGATCGCCTGCCATCTCTCCACCAGTCGCGCTCGAGGGCGTCGGACACAGCCCACAAAGAACGACCTGTGGATTCAGGGAGCGAGCGCCCGACACTGACGACGCGCGAGTAGCTAATTATGGCGGTCGACATTGAACGCGATCGCGTACGCCCAACGCGACGCACTCGTTTAGCTGGCAGCATGCTGTCGCCGAGGCTGGAGACGACGGCCAGTCTCCTTCGCCTCCTTCGCGATGGCGAGCTCGTCACCGGTGACCATTTTTGACGGCGACGCCGAGGGCCATGGCGTCGATCGTCTGCTTGGTGTGGTTTCGAGGTGGGTCGAAGATGGGAAGGATACCGACGAGAGCCATAGTGTTACAACCTCCCCCTCGCACCCACCGCCATCGACCTTCTCGTAAGCGGCGGCGAGCGCGCGTAGACCGCGCGCTGCGAGCTCCTCCCTGCCAGCTTCGAGTTTTTTCTCGCCTGCGGCTTGGTCTTGTTGCGCGTGTAAAGCTTGACGACAATACCGGTCATACCCCTGGTAACGCGCTTGAGCCCGCTATTTGATTCCTCGCGGTAAGTGATCTCCGCGCTTGCCAACGAGGCTTCAATTCGAGTCACTTGGCACCAGAAAGCGCACGAGCGGTGTCAGTGAGAGATCCGACGACGCCAGAGTTGATAGCATCCTGGTTCTCGGTGCGCGAAGGGTAGGCAGCGAAGAGGATGGCATCATCAGTGCAGAAGCGGCCGTAGGCTCTGATCGTCTCGCGGTCGATTGTGAGCGTTGATCGTGAGCGTACCAGTCTTGTCGGGGCCAGAGTAGTACGAGGGACGATAGCCTTGTACTCGGCGAACCGCTGGGTTCCGGCGGCGAGAGCGACACACAAGACGGTGCGCACGGCAACGGGAATACCATCGATCAGGGGCACCAAGATGTCGTCGAGGGCGCCAGGGTCGTCTAGCGGAAGGCGGCGTACAAGGGGAAGATCTTGGCAGTAGAATACCAATGGAGATCAAGTAGAGACTGCTGAACTGCGCGAGGATCTTGTGCAAGTGACCGGGGTGCGGCCATCCTGAACGATGAGCGACGCGGTACCACTGAAAAACGCGTTCGAGAGCCACTGCGCGTATACTATCAGTGTCCCAATCAAGGCGAGGACAAGAATGAGCGTACGATAAGCATTGATCGCCATTGTTCTTGCCCGAAGGCCTTGTCGATCGACACATCGATGCACTCGGTCAGGCGGCACTCGGCGCGAACGATGTCACCGATCTTGAGCGATAGGCGCTTCGTAGAAACCGAGACCGGAGTTCATGAGCAGAAGGTCGATGATACCGAAGGATGCTGCCCAATGTGGCAGCTGGTACTCGCCGTTCGACATGACCCACGTTACGGGGTTGGACATGAATGACAAGGACTGAAGACTATATGAGACTGTGCAAAGATTAAGTCTAAGAGACGACGAACCTGCCCAAAGGCTTTGTCGTCCTCCACCGCGTGGACCCTGTTCTGAAGAGCTCGAGTGTACGAAGAACCTCATGCGTCCTCCGCGGCGACGGGCCCGAGGTCGATCATTTGCTTGTCGTAAGATCCTCGACCCTTCAGCAGGCATGACGGGGAGATTGGGTGGCTGATCATGGCTACTTCAGTCGTCGTCCTCAAAAGTGGTCCCAGAGAGGACGCACCGGCATGGAAGGGTGGCGCTGCTGTCCTGGTACGCCGTTCGCAGAGGGCTGCTGCTGGCCCGCAAAGTTGAAGCCGCTTCCGGCGGGTGCCTACCCGCGACAGTGCCGTCGCTGGGGCGGGTTCTGTTGTGCCTCTGCCCGTACGGCGGCTTGTGCATCTTGGTCGTTGAATACGCAGAGAACGCGCGCTGCGATCATTCTCGCAGCTCCCGCATTTTCAATGATACTAGCTTGCTTGCGGTCCTTCCCATCTGGCGATGCGCGCGCAGATGAGTAGTTCGAGTTCGCGAAGACGGAAGAACGGACAACTCTTATAGCACCAGTGAGTTAAGTCATGAACGTGCCACGCTTCTTGCCGACTCTGGCCTTCCTCTCGTCTCCACCACGTCCGGCGCGGTCGGCGCTCTACTGGTTGCTGGTTGGCCGGACGATACCAGGATCGTCCGACTTTGGCGGCGGCGGGTGCCCTTCGAGGTGGATGCGGAGGCCTTTTGCTTGCCTTGGCCGGTTTTGGGCGCGGGAGGGACGCGAATGTGAAAGTGCCGCGGAACGTTGCGCGGGGAAGGGTTGTTGAGGTAGGGTTGTGCCTGCGGGGTCTGAGGCATCAGGTAGGAACCCTGCGGGAGATCAGTGTGGCAACTAGACGCACTTCGCAGCTAAAGTCTTAGATCACGTGCTACGGTGCATGCGGTGAAGCTTATGGCTGCTATGCTTTGCCCTCGCACACTTCATCTGTTTTGAAGGTTTCTACATATACTTTATACCTATACCAATGATTATATGACGTGTTTGTGAGAGGAGAATGGAGTATACAAGGAGGATAATTGACTTTCGTTCGGGAGAGCACATGCTTATGTAATTTACTGCCATATACGGAATAGCCAGATGAGGCTGTCGGCGCGCGGTGGGTTTGACCTGCTGCAAGTACTGTAGCTGCTATTTCGACTGATGCATGTCATGCCATCCCCGCCATCGCCCAGATCATCTCATCTCTTGCTCTCAACTGAAGTCTCCCAGTCCCGCAGCCTACTTAGCCACTCCCCGCTAAGTATTCCGTGGTCCTTCGTCTCGTTTACTCCTGATATTGAACAGGCCTCAATGCCGAATTGCTCCTCAAGCCGGCGGAAGACCATCCGAGCGAGTCGCATGTCCATAGCTCGAATGCACCCATATGATTCTCGCTGCGGTGCGGAGTCGATTCCCAAGTACGCGTAAGGTCAGCAAACACAATTCGCACAAGTGTCATGTCATGCTTTGTCAGGACACGGACACCGAGTCTACGTACCAGCTCATCCATAATGAGCTCACCCTCTACGGCGCCCGGCCTTGAACCTAGCATCGCTCATCCTTACCTGCATGCCCAAGCAGGCTGACCGACTCATGTTGGAGAACATCTCCAAGAACCATATCGACCAGGGCGAACATCCCAGTGTGACGCGTGCGGAATCTACTCAACCGTGTAGTTCGGCCTAACATAGCTTGCAGAGGTCATTCACGCGTGTCCCTCAGCGCCCGCAGCGCCACCGGAACTGCCACTACCGACTCATCGGCATGTACGTCCTCCTCGGTAGTAACTCTCGACAGTCACTACAATATGGCGCATTCACTCAAGCCGAACATCTTTTGTAGGCGCTGCACTGGCTATTACGAGCCAATCGAGACGCCTGAGCTACTCGACAAGTACGTGAAACGAACAAACAGGTGTCCATGTACCCATTCACGTCGATGGCGCCTCAGGTGGCTTCATCGCCCCATTCGCATCCCCAAATCTCAAATACGGCTTCCGCAACCCGCGCGTGTCTCCATCAACACCTCTGGGCACAAGTTCAGCCTCTCGTGCGTCGGTGTTGGCTGGGTCGTCTGGCGCTCGCAGCAGTTCCTGCCCAAGGACCTCATCTTCGAGCTGCACTACCTTGGCCGCGCCGCCTGCGTGTCCACCATTCAGTGAGGTGCGTGCCTGCACTGGTGTTTGTACAACCTGACGCATCCACCAGCTCCCTTTTTTGCTCTCCACGTCTCGTGTCGTCCGGCCCATCCGCCTTGCTCATGTACCCGGTACGTACGTCGCGTTCTCAGCCTGACTTTGTGCGTGCTGATGTACGTCCGATGTTCGTGGTTCAGCGCTCCGCAGTCCGTGGAGTGGCCTTCCAATGATCCTGGCAGTAGAGTATCTCGCTTATAGCACGGGGCATACTCTGGAGCATGCTGGTGATGGTATGTATTTGTGTACCCGCGTGCTGCAGTTCTTGGCACTGACGACGCGCGCACTTGGCTGTTGAAGCTGGTCCGCGTCAACGTGGCGAGATTGGGAGAGTGAGAGGGGTGACTCGGAGTCAAGGGCGATAGAGGGATGATTGAGTGGGATACGAGGTGGGAGCCCCGGCGTGGATGTAGCTGGCGGACGATCAGACAGCGCGCGCCGCGCGTGAGCTGTCGAGATGCTTACCTAGTCAACACCATGACGGTGCCACGCGTGTCCCCACGCCATCCGTCCGTCCGCGTCCGGAAGTTGACGCTGCTGTGTGGGAGGTCGAGGAGACTGTGAAGGCAAGGGAGGAGGTCGGTCATGCGGTCGAGCTGCGAACCTAATTAATTTAGCGCGCCTGAGATTGCATCTTTACCAGGCGTCCGCGTCGGTTGTCTGTCTTAGTGTCTATGCAGATCGAACATATTTTTGTGCTACTCTGACTGCTACGTCGTGCGATGCAGTGCTACTCAAGTATCACAGTGGGCTGAGCGTGAGCTACTTATGTGCGCCGAGCTCTGGTCGCCATAGCCTCACCTTATTGAACGTGTTGGGGTCGCCATGCATGTCTGAAGCAGGCAATTCTGAGCGCGATGTATGGAGATCAAGCTTAGATCAAGCATCGTTACTCACAGTATTGTAATCAGAAGACTTATCAGTGTTATCTACTGAGCATCTAATCGTTATCATTCCCTCCCATTCCCACTTGGGACCCTGGGAATATTCCCTCCTGGCGGGTCGAACAAGGGTCGAAAGCTTTGGAATAGTGTGAGAACTTGGTGAGAACCAGAGAAGTATGAAGGCCCATGCCGGACAAAACCCAATGTCGACAACCCTCTGCAGCGTCTTAACCGGGCATGCCCGAGGTATCTGGAAGAATTACATGAGATTGTAAGTGAACTTGCGGGCAATGTACGCTGTCCTCCGGAATCCTTGGAAACATGTGTGAGCTCGTCGTTTCGCACCGGAAACCAAGTGGTCATTCCGAAACGGTACGGATAACTTGAGATCATGCCGTATAACGCCTGATCTCATGTGTTATGAAGGGAGCTATGAAGGGAGCCGCCGGACAAAAATATCAGAGTTTCGTACAGTGAACTTCAACTTCAATCCGAGGTTTCAACTTCGCTTACGGGTTCAACTTCGGCAAACGCGCCAAATTAGGCAAGCGGCGTGCCCGAGACCGCCGAGTGCTTACATAAGCTCTCCATATATGGGTTTGCGAGTGGCCACTGTATCGAGTTCCTCAGGCTTACAGGTGTGGGGAGATACAGTGAGATACGCGGCCCCGGTTGCAGTGAGGTCGCCGGCGTTCGAGAGGTGGTCGACTGAGAGTGGTAAGGGGGCTCAGAGAAGTAGTACGTAGTACTTCAAGTTAGTTACTATTAGTTAGACAACCTGTACTTCGGAAGGAATCAATTCGCGTCTTCTCGTCGCTGAGGTAGAGTGCGACCAATGCATGCAGCACCCTCTGATCATTGCTACGTACACATTGAGTTTTGAGTCCTGCAAAATCACACCAGAGAGAAGAGAGCGAAGAGGATACTATTTGATGGAGGCAGAGGCAGCATAAGCCCGTGCTCTCAAGTACATAAGAGCGAGACAACATTGAGTGCGCTACTAGTAATGTGACAGAAGAAAAACACAGATTCTGAGTGACAGCTGCAACAGTCAACTGGTCAAGGCAGGAGCTATTAGCGTGCGCGACTTCCCTTCAAGTTGGCCACGGTTAACGATGCTCAGCATGCTTGGCCGCATCGTTCGCCGGAGGTTGGGCAAGGGACGGGCACGGGAATCGCACAGGGCATTACACGGCTGCAAAGACAGGCCGAGGCTGTCCGGAAGCGAGTATAGGCCGCGGGCGTCGGGGCGATCAGAGAGTGTGGCGGCGTAGGTGCGCGAGCTGTCGAGGTGATGTGGGAATGCATCAACGGGTGGGACACCGAGTAAATCATCACTGTCGAAGGTATCGAGCTGTGAGTCGCCCGTCAGTCTGACGCTTCGCCTTCGGCATCGGACTACAAGGGTGAAGCTTGAAGCTTTGAAGACCCACTGTCACGCTCGTGCACACGTCCACTTACATCATGATCGTTCGAGTTGGACAATAGCCTCGAGGCTACTAGTACATACCACATGCGACGTGCGCCCTGGCCGTCCGACACTCTGACGTTCGTCTCTGTACATGTGTAAGTACAAGTACTGAGGTGGATCAAAAAATGCGAACCTTACCAGGGAGCGACTCACATCGCCGTTCGCAAAGCCCACATTCCCTCTCGCTCTGTTGTCAGTCCTCTCACCTGTATATGCATCCACCCGTCTGCCTGCTTGTTCTCCGCCCTGCCCACTCGCTTTCCCGGTACCCGTGCGGACCCGCAAAATACGCATGCTTGTGCTCGCCCGTGAGGGACCTATATCGGCTATAGCACGGCCGTCTATTCACCCCATGGCGTGCGACAGTCCTACGCACAATGGCGCGCGCAATCCATTTGATATGCGTAACTGATCCACACCAGCAGAATGCCAGAATCCTACGTCAGAAAATACACGTATAACAAGGTACTTACGTACTCACCGCTACTTCTGCGACAATCCACGCGGATGCTCATGGGTGTCACAAGCAGTTGAGCGAGCGGGTGATCGAGCGATCGAGTGCATGGGTTGAGGGAGCCAGAGAGCCTGCGTGACCAGACAAGAGCATAGCGGCGTGAGAGTACAAAAACGGTCAGACAAGAGAGTGAGCAGAGTAGACTGCGAGGGAGTGGGACTCGCCGCTCGGAAGACTCGAGAAGACAAGCGAGTGGGGAAAAGACGAGTGGTGGGCGAGAGGATGGCAGCGGGCCAGATAGAAAGAGAGATAGAACGGGCTAGGCAGCGGTGAGACGAAATTGAGCAGATGCGAGTGGAACAGCGATGTACGACTCGTAGTGGTATGCAATGGACGGCGCGCACTACACCATAGTTCAACTGTTCATATGATGCAATACAGTCAAATGACGGCCCATCAAACGATATGCGCGAAAGGACTCGGGGCGAACAGGAGCATTGAAAGAAGGCGAGGGATCTGCGAGCGTTCTCGACCCTGTTGACTCGATTCACTGCTCTCTCTCTTGCCTCCCCGTCCTCTCGTTCATGCTCACCCGCCGCCACTCGCGCCCTGTCCTCTTGCACATGTGCTTGCACTCTTGCCCTGCTTCCTCGCGCACCTGCTGCGTTGCCTGTGCCCGCTGGTCCGTCTATCCTCTCGTAGTAGTTAGTCGTAGTATAGTTAAAGCAACCCAGTCATTAGATAGACGCCCAGATACTACCCGGCGCCACCGTTCGGCGTTAGCCGAAACCGTTGGCCGAAGTTGAAACCGTTGGCCGAAGTTGAAACCGTTGGCCGAAGTTGAAACCGTTGGCCGAAGTTGAAACCGTCAAACGAACTTGAACTTGAGGTTGAAAACGAAATCCGCTATCCTCAAAACGTAATAGGTTCTGTCCGGCCAGGGCCTTCATAACATTGTACCATCGCACCTCATCGCCGTGTTTCTCAGAGCTCGCCACCGAACGAACATCACGTGCCCAAGCTCCCAGATGCATCCAGGTGTTGCTGTTGTGACGACGACACTCGCAGCTTCAACACTCCTGAGTACAACGACCCGCGTGAACACGTCGCACGCGACCTTCCAGACAACCTGCCAGACGACCCTCGGGCCTCGACGTGTCAGCACTGCACAAAAGCCATGCATCAAGTGCATCCGCGCGCGTGTTACCAAGGACCGTGGAACTGTGGACGAGTGGGCCGGACACTCAAGAAACCGGACGGCAACATCAGACAAGAAGGGCATGTGAGGGAGTACGACTGCACCTGGTAAGCACCCTCCCATGTTTGCTCCCGCCAACATTGACTGCCGCGTTGCCCTACTGACGTATGTTTTGCAGGTCCTGGATGCTCGTCCGGGATTGCGCACGTCGGGCTTGCCCATCCACTCGCCTGCCTGCCCGTTCGCTCACCCGCCTGTTTGCTCGCCCACCCGTTTGCTCGCCCACCCGTTTGCTCGCCCGCCCGTTCGCTCACTTGTTCATCCGCTCGCCAGTGCTTTCCTGCCCGCCCGCCGCCCCAGTGACTGCCCATTGACGTGTCATTGTCTTGATGAAAGTGCAGTGTCGCTGAACGAGACAAATTGTGCCCACCGGGTGTCGGTCTTCTTCCGAACAGGTACGTTCTATCTGCCGAACCAGCACTCCCAACGCGATCATTGTGTTTGGGTTATGTCGCACACCACCATGTACATTATATACTCACTGACATGCATCTAACCTGATCGCACGCTCCCGAGTCCCGCAATTCAAAAACTCACACGTCTGTTTCTTGGTACACTACCTACGCCAACCATACGTACTTTGTGGACTCTCCCCGTGTATACCAAAGAACCGACGCGCTCCTCGTGCAGCTTTGGCCCCATCATCATTGGAGGTGGTAGCCCGTCTCATACCTGATGCAGTCAGCTTGCGAAGTCGAGCATTGCTCTCAGCGATCCGGAGCGACATGTCAGCGATTGAACAGTAGTCGCAGTACGTACGTACCTGGCTGCCTTTACTATGATAATACTCGCTGACGCCCACTCTTCTGGCACCAATCATTCCCTGTCACGTTGCGCTCCTCGTCATGCGGCAGTACGACCGTGCAGTCGTTCGACGCCGTCTGCTGCTCATGGCGTCGCGGACACCTGTCAGAGTCCTGCTGGGGCTGTCCTTGTCGGCTTATATGGTCTGCAACGGAGACTACCCGGTGTCCCACACTGTTCGTGTGCTCACACGACTGAGAACGAGCATCGGCACGAAACATTTGCCTGCCGAGGTGAGTACTCATCCATTCATGTATTTCCGCATGTCTGCCTACCACGAACTAGACACAGACAGTATAAGACACTTAGGTATGCGATGCTTTATATAAGGAACATTGTTGGTGAACGATCGGAGGGCTGGGGGCAGTGACGCACGCAATGTAAGTCTCCCATCAGTCATCCGGTCGGTGCTCTGCTCCGTGACTGACGCTACTTTGTGTAAGATGGCTCGTCGTAAGTAACGAGACAGCGAGACGTCCGGACGCGAGGTTGTGGATGGCGACGGACGAGCGAGGCGAGCAACACTATGCGTCTGTAGGTCATGGTCGGGCGCTGACATGCGTGTACGTGCATACCAGTAGATCGGGAATGGGGTCAACCTGCTACTTGAACTAATGCGGACTCTGTGACTACCGAGCACTGGTGAATCAGGAGGAGGGCATGAGTTGTCGTCGAATAGTTCTTGCTGCAGTGCGCACAGTGAAAGTTCAGACACATGCTTCGCAACTCGGCGGGTTGACCGACAATGATGATGACAGTGCACGGACGGCAGATGATGCGAACACAAGGACGCGCGCGACGCAGTGACGTGCAAATCCGGAGCGTTTGGTCAGTGCTGTTTCACCACGCCCTCTGGATCGTCATGCCCTGAGGGGCTTATGTTATGTCGCCCGACCGGTACGATGCCTCGACACGCACTCCGTTACATTGTGACTGGCCCAGTGAATTGCATGAGGCGTTGCATGTCATCTGCAGATGCGGGTCACAAAACTTGTCCATCGGATACGCACCGCAGGAGAGTGCTCAAGTGTGTTTTGGTGTTGTGTTTCGATTCTTTCGATTGAATGGCTTCGCACAGGTGGACACGAATACCACACGCACGTCTCGTCGAGGCAGCAGAACGCTAGCCAAGCGTAGCTGGGAGACAGCCAGGACTCACCGGGCGGAATGTTTGTCCTGGTCTCGGTCTGCAGGGTCGTGATCAGCGAAGGGATTGATAACTAGTGTATGTAGACATATACATTACACAAGTACTGTAGCCATAATACATGAGACATACATAATGATGAGAGGTGCGCGAGAACGGATGCGGGCAGCGTGCGAAGCGGATTGAGGATAGCAGAACAGTACCTACGAAACGGTCACAGGCATCCAAGTCATCCGCGCAGGACTTACCCAAGATGAGAGGGAGAAAGCACGTACCTTCAAAGCTATCAACACCAGCGCGCTTGCCTTTGATGGATTAGATAGTGCGGGTACGCTCGAGTTCGTACGCTTACCCAGCTTCGCGGAACGGTGTTCATAAGCATTTTCAGACGTTCTTTGGCTTTGCACAGCTATGGTTGTCACAGACTAAGGCAGGAGGCCTTGGACAAAACCCGTCTCGGACAATAAGCTGTTGTAGGCCATGTACTGACGTGAAATGCGGCGAGGTGAGAGAGTAAGTGAAGGGCAGGCACGCGAGGGGACGTGAAGGGACGCGAAGGGACAGGGATGGAAGTTTCTCTCAAGTTCACTAGCGAAAGCAAGGGATTCCGAGTGGAACGGGGTGCAAGGTAGCGAAGTGACGCGATGGGACGTGATGTGAGCATTTGAGAACGGACGCGATACCATAGGTAAACGTGGGATCCTGCGTGGGGAGATGTGATCGGTCTCCAACCCTTGGAAGCACAAGTGCGCACAACCGCGCCCGACGGAGCCGTTCGTCCAACTGTGAACTCCAGTGATCGTGAGTGATCCCTTGTGCCCCCTTCGCTTGCTCAGTAGCGCGTTCGGGTTTTGTCCGAGACGGGCCTTCATAGAGAAGACCCAAGACAGGTCAGACGTACCCGCACCTCGAGACGAACACCCAAGACAGGTCAGACGTACCCGCACCTCGAGACGAACACAGCGAAGGGGCGAGACGCGGCTTGTTCCTCATCGTCACTGAGATGGAGTTGTAGCGCGGGAGGGAGGCTGCTGTTGTCGATAACGCCGGGATACTGAAACATGAGGCAGCGGCATGATCGGGCTTGCGGCTTACTCACATACAGACGAGGTACACGCGATCTTCTTGACTTGGGTTCATAGGTTGCAGATGGTGAAGAATTCGACATGAGAGGAGTGTGGGGGCAAAGAAGACGAGGAGGATACTACAAGACTAGACGCGGAGCCGGGAGACGCACTCGCACACGCTCAGCCAGAGTCTTAGATCACGTGCTACAGTGTGCGGACTCATGCAGTGAAGCGTAAGGCTACTATGCGTTGTCCTCGCACAATTCGTCTCTTTTACAGGTTTCTACATATATATCATACCCATTGCAGTCAGTACATGATGTGTTCATGAGAGGAGGCTGGGGCATACAAGGAGGATAATTGAATTTCGTTCGGGAGAGTACATGCTTATGTAACTTACTGCCATATACGGAATAGCCAGATGAGGCTGCGGGGCGCGGTCAGTTGGCCGACTTTCTCTATTCTGAAAGTTTCCTCAGATGGGAAACAGCTGACGCACCAGTATGTCAAGTTTTGACGTCGGTGTGAGTGAGGGCTCAAGGAGGATAAACAACTTCGTCCCAGCAAGAGCGAGTACTTACAGGCGCTCGTCCAAGTCACGCGCGCAACTCGATCGTTCGGTGATCAGCGCTCAGCCACTAGCGCTAAGTATTCAATGCTCCTCCTTACTGGTGGCTAACGCTGCGACTCATGTCGCCTTGCCTCCTCCCTTCTCCAGCCCGCCCCCTGTCTCTATCTTCACCCGCTGAACAACGGAAGCAGCCGTTACTCGAGTCTGGGAGGAGGGTGCAAAGGTACGTCGCAGGGCGGGCGGTGACGGGAAAATCTCACCAATTGCACCACACCCGGCCATGTGTAGTGTAGTTCCGCATTAAGGACGTCAAGTGCAGGAGCTCTAATGGAACGTCCATCAATGGCGAGCGGCCGAGTCCTGAAGAGCTTGAGTGTGAGTCCCTCCTCACCCGCCAACGTCGCTCGCGTTGAAACAGACATGCTTCACGTTAGGAATCCGGTATCGACATAGTCTGCGACGATAGCAAGACCGCCATCCACCCGAAAGTTGCAGCGCGCGTTCTCTGCGCATTCATGAGCCTCGCGTTTGAGCTGGAAAATAGCATAGAACACTGGTGCGTTCACTCTGGGACTAGCTCCGAGGCCGACGGCTAAACAAGACGTGCTGCTCAGCCTTACGATCCGCCTCCCTCAGTTCTTCCCCATCATGCCGCCTCAGCCCCAGAGCCCACAAGCCCTGAACGAGTTGCAGAGCCAGTTCTGCGAGACTCGATCATCATCGCTCGCTACTCATGCCGAGAAGATTCAGACGTTTGACCAGGCGGGATGCGCAGCGTCGACTGGGTCAGCAGACGACCACTCGGACGTGCTCTACGTACCGGCAGGCCAGAAGCGCGAGGACGGAGGCACCGTATTTGCTGAGTAAGTGTCTCGATTGCTCACGCACGACGCTCTCTGATCGTATGCATCCCGTCGTGACTCTCACTTCGCATGTCACCCAACGTTCTCTCTGCCTCCTTTTGGTCGCTCATTCCTCTCGCCATCCCAATCTCGCCACCTCTATCTCTATGCGCCGCCGGGCAGCCCTAACTCCGCCGCCAGTGAACGCTGCACGCGGGACGCGGATGCATACCGCTTAGCGACCCAGCCCGCTCCAGAGTACATACCGCGCTACCAGCGCAATGCTCGTCTCGAGGGGCCACTCCGCAGACTGCGAGGGGATCAGCGACGTCGCGCGGAAGTGGAGAGCGCGGGACGCGTATCGTAGTCACGCGTTCAGGAACACTGGACGTACGGAAGCGCATGCACAAACCACGTCAGCAAGGGCCGAACTGGCCTGAGGATGCGGCATACGTACCGGGACATGAGCAGGGCGGACGGCCTGGACGACACGAGACTCGGAGGGCGGGAACGGGAGACTGTAGATGCGCAAGGCAGTACGAACACACCTCACTAAAGAGTGAAGACCGACACGTTGGGATCAACTTAGTGTACTGTGACGTGCACCTAGAGACCCAGGAAGAGAAGTCAGCAACAATGAGACCAATTGGAGGAAGGACGTGACCGAAGCTACGCGGAAGACGAGAGTAGTAGGAGGAGGGCAGTAGCGCGCAGAGAAAGGTGCGTACACAGGTCATCGACGTCGTGGTCCACGCATTGACGAACAGCACGTTTCTGCTGACCGGCGGACGTGGCGGCTTCCACCGCTCTGCTACTGACAACCCGACGCGCGGTGAGGATCGATCACGCTAGCAGTGCGGTACAGCGAGCAGTTTTTGCTCGTGAGTGCGACGAGTATACGCAGCACGCAGCTTCTGCATCTGGGTCATCTCATGGATACTGAATAAAGACGAACGACAGCCTCGCACCTCAAGCGGAGGAGGCACGTCCGGTGCACGAGGGCACGAGGGCACGAGGGCACGAGGAGACCGAGGATCCCGTGGATACTGTATGGGGACGGCGTCACAGCATTTGAAGACGTCAAGGTGGCTTTTGGCGCCGTCCTCAACAACGTGTCTTGGCCAGCGATGATCTAACCAGTTGGACGATGGATCCCCAATTATGCTCCCGGTTGGCAGGCTTGCCGGGACCGACGACGGAAATCGAAGGGTATTTATCTTGCTTCAGGTGACGTCTCCAGATCCTTCTGATACCCATCTATTGTACTTTCTGCAGTAAACACACTATCACGAACCGCGTATATGAATCATTAACGAAAGCCGCTGGCCGCCTCACGGTGAGTGGACGAGGAAGAGCGCACCACGCTAGCTTGACAGGCAACCTCAAACTGGACTGTATGGGTCAGACGATGGCGAGGAACGCCGCACAGCCTCACCGTCCGCAGACACACTCCTCTCTTCGTTATGCAAGCAATGCGCTGGCGAAGTTGTCAATCGATCAAGACCGGCGACATGAATGCTATACTACCTCGCGCCCGCCTTGGCATTCCGTTCCGCAGGCTCGCGTACCACGTCTTGGCACTATCCTGCGCCCTGTCATCTTCTCCGAGGCCCCGCGCCTGTGAGCACCATGGGGTGGTGCGACCTTCGGACTGGACTGCTTGACGATGGGAGGCGGAGAGCGAGGCGGAGAGCGAGGGTGGGGTGGGGCTGTTGAGTCGGGGACACGGAACTTACGGTAATGTGCATATCTGCTGAAGGGAATTGAGCAGGGGTAGATCGGAAGATTGGAGCGAAAGGCGCGTCGAAAGCTCACTCGAGGCTGCGATGCCAGTCCCTGCCATAACCCGTCCACACGAAGTCGTATCGACCGCTGTGGCTGTTGATTACTTCACAAGCCCGCAGGGGAACTCTTCGCACATAGACAATCTTTCTGATGGCGTAATAGTATACACGATCTCGATGGCATTCAGGCGCATCGGACATGCCTGGACTTCATGTGCGAGAGGAAATCCAGATGGCCCTGACGCGGACGCATGACACAGCCCAACGTGACGTGTCAACCACCCTGAGGGGGATAGCATAGCGATGACAAGCCAAGAGCTAAGGACAAATGATGTCTAGTTAGGTACGGAAGTCCAGCTCGGAGTCACCTGGAGCGATCTCCAGTATCCAGTGCTTGTTCTGCAAAGGAATACGCTCCAAGACTACATTACCACGGCCCGTTGCACAGATCACACAGGGGCTACTCACCTACGCCTGCTCTGTGTAGCCCTACTTGTCCGCAGCCTCGGCCGCGGCGCCGCTACATGCTGAGCAGTTGGCGAGGTGCTGATAGCGCAGGTGGCGTTCGGCACGGCTCGTCGTCATCACGGGCTATGGCCTAGCGTACCAGCGCAGTAAGATACATATAAAGTCGGAACCTCGGATGAACGTCCGGAAACCCACCTCGACGATGGAGGCTCTCGTGATCCGCTCGAAGACAAGGTTGAGCCTTCAGGAGCGCGCTGAACGTGAGCGAAAGATTAGCCGCGCGAGGTATGACGAGAGGCATAGGGGCTAGAACGGTTTGGTAGATGACGAGTAAGGAGGAAGAGTCAAAATGACTCGGAGGCCGGTTGCAGATCATGAGGTTGTGTGCGAGAAGATGAGGATCGCTATGTAAGATGTAAGTCCCGAGGTCACAGGAGCGAGCAGACGTAGTGGTACTAATCACCCACCGTCTTCTGGACGGCTTCCGTTCGTCAGTATTTCATTGAATAAGGTCGGGGCGAACTAATGGTCGTGCGCGTCAGTCAACCGTATGCAGTACAAGGAATGGCAGACGCACAATACAGGTAAGGGCTCTCACAGAAGTTGGACACCGATTAGGATAAGCAGGCCGTGACTACTGCAGCGTGCCATGCCGTCTTTGCGGGCTTCAAAGTGTTTAAGATGGCCTGGATTTGAGTAGATGGCGATTAGAGCATGACCTGTCCAGCCAGAACGAAAATTTTGACGAACATGGAGCCCTTTACCTGTCGCGCACGCACGCGTGACTACTCAACGCATCTTATGTCAAGGCAGGGAAAGCGATTATCTTACCCGGTAGTGTAGCCTCAGGTAGCCCTCCTCGCTGTTCCTGGGATAGGTGACATGTGTGAGCCCAGGCGATGGCATTGCGGCGGGGCAGGACGGGCGAATCAGTGTTCCAGTCAGAGACATTGAAGGGAGACGCGACGTCGTGCTCAACTATTGCAGATCAGTTCTGCGATGTTGGACCACTGTGCTCTGCAGGAACCTTGCAGATATGCGCGTGCGGTTAACACGACGATGAATAAGTTGCCAGATGCCCCAGATGAAACTGGGATGAAATGATGGCTGTAATCAGTGCCTACATTGCGGAGAACAAGCAGGAAGGACGTACCTGGCGTCGCGCACGCCGCCTGTATTACAACGTCTAAGTTACGTTCTGCGCATCAGAGCGTGTCGGACTTCCGTTTTGGCCGACTAATGAGATAGCTGCTTGACATCGTTTCGGGTGGAGTAAGGTGAGAGTCCAATTATTCTACCTCCACCGTCGCACGTACAGTTGCCTGTACACGCTTCCGCATTGACAATGAATGGGCCGGTGTGCTGCAGTATTGCCGCCTTCATCGCGTTCGTAAAGCGAGCTGCCCTTGCCATCGCGAGCGGCTTGCCGTATGTGACGATGCAGGAAGTCGCCGTGTTTGGGATAATGAGTGTACAATGGTTGCGACTCACAAGTGCAATTTAAAAAGGCTTCATGGTATCTGGGAATAACGGCTGATGAGAGAGGCTCCGCGATAGGTACAAGCAGAATCAGAAGCCGCTGAGGAGAAGGCAGCGAGGAGCGAGACACGCAAGAAGACGGTATGCTCACACAATTCCACGCTGCCATGTCAAGTCGGTTTCCGTTGCTGCGGCAGTTCGCGCACCTTTGAAACTGCCAGTGAGCGAACTTGTCGCGAGCTGCGCGATCGCGAGTGGGATTGGATGCTGAGCACCTGGAGGAAGTCCTCGGAACGATAGCGCGCAGAACCGCAAGCGCGACGATGTGATTACCAAGGTTTGCGACGAGACAGCAACGCTCGTGAACGACATCTGCGCGGAATTGTCTGTAAAACGAGGCATCAGTCCATCGACAGACTTGAAGCAAGCCTGGACGGCATGCAGGTTGTCTTGCACGCCGCCGAGATGGTTCGGCGGACAAAGCTTCGTTGTATCGCAATAGGGGAGATCTTTGACGCAATTCGCAAAGTCAAGAACAAGAGGGGGGAGACGACGTCACAGAAGCATTTGCTCAAGAAATTGAAAGAAATGGTGATGATCTTGTTCATAAGTCACGGCGCGTATGGCGCGTACGTACAAATGTGACAGTGTTGCCGCGATTTGCCCAAAGCATCAGTGACTTTACTATGTTGATACGAGTCTTCTTCTCCCAGTGCTAGAGCTTCCCAGAGAAACCGCAAAAGAAACTTCGCAAGAGAGAAATTGAACGAAAACGAGATGGATTCAGCCTCCTTGGTTATGAGTCACATGTCGCAACTCCTAGCTTACCTGATCACCCAGCGCAGACCCGGAGCCGCGACCTCCTCCTCCTGTTATAGGTCTCCGCCCTTCATTGAGCCTCATTCCAGACGGGAGGAGCCTCACTGAACCGTATTAGTAACGCTTTCTGAGGGTACCCGGTCCTAGCGCTCATCATTTCACTCGGAAGTTCTCACGGAAGACCTGCAGTGCTACTCACGCACCTCTCTCGCACACTGTATTTGCTCAGTTCGAACATTTTTTTAATGACGATTGAGTGTATCCAATGGTTGTTGTGAATTTTCCGGCTCGGTTATACTGAGAAACGAAGGAGGAGGATTGACTTTCGCTCGGGCGCAAGCCTCCCCCGCGGGCGCGACTCAGAGTGGCCGTGTCGTGTCTGCGATGTGCATGAGCTTCCTGTCACATTTTCTGGCCACTGACACACAGCGGCAGGACAAGCTGCAATCAACTTTTGATATCTGTCTGCGGTACGTATGACAAACCTACTTTGTCAGGATTACTAAAGACAACCATTCGTCGCTCAGATAACCCGCCGAAGGGGACGAAGACGTTTGCCTAGCAAAGCGTATCGTACATCCTGTCTTCATCCTTCCTATATACTCTCGAGCTTCGTTGCAAGCGCTCGACTTACTCATGCAGTGAGTATGTTCAAGCACTAGCAGAAGCCCGTGCTATGCTACGGGAGCGTGTGCTTGCACATTCAACTATACTGTACATACAGTATGAGTCCGCGCGGAACTGTAGCTCGAGTCGCTTGCTAATGTAGAAGGCCACTCAGCCGCCTCCCTCCGGGAGTCGGCTTCGTGGCCATATTCATGGATTGCTCTGTATGGAAGTACTTACCTAGTGCTCATAGGGCCTTGCGCGACAGCTATGTAGGCTAGTTCATGCTCTGTGATTCAATGCAGCTCGATGGCGCCTCATCGTGCACCCTCGTGGGCCTCGTCGCCGCGATGTGCCCATCCTCGTCGTGATCATACACCACATCGAACTCGTCGAGCACTTCCTCATTGTCCTCTGCGTATCCCTTCTGGCATACGTCGTTCAGCAGCACGGCATTCATGATTCGCCGGCGAGAGCGCATCGCCATCCCCAAGTGGATGAAGTCCATTCGCCGCCGCTGCATGTTCCATTGCGAGGTTGAACGCAGGGTCCGAGAACATCGCCAGGTTGAAGGGTACCGTGGTCGGGTACGTTCTCGTGTATCGCGTGCCGCTCTGGATGTTCTGCGCATCGCCACCGCCCACGTCGGGCTCGATCCCGCACGGTTCATCATCGCCGCGAGGTCCGCTTTTGTCACCATTCCGGAATTCTGGAGCGCGACGGGAGCTAGCGAGGCAGAGAGCGAGGCAGTACTGGAGGTGGACGATCAGGGGAGAGACCTGCCCGGGATGCAAACCACGTACCGGGCTTTGCAGGGTAGACCACATTCGCTAGTTGCGCCCTGGATCTCTTCGGGCGTCTCGTCCTTAGTGTATAATATCCTGTCGTCGAATACCATGCCCTCGAATGCGCAGTCAATGTCCAGGCCTTGCCTTTCTTTTTCTTGGTTTTCTTGCCATGAATTGGTTGGCGCGCGCATGGTTCACTGGCACATGCCGAAGCCATTTTCAAAAGGCACTGGCTTCGCGAGTTCATTCCCATGCCGCACTCCTCTCCTCAATCAGTGCACGTTCATAAAACTCAGCACACTCCTGCTACCCATGGAAGCGCTGCTGCTCACCTCACGCTCGTCGTTTTGGGACCCCGTTTTACCCTAGTCGCGCTTCAGTTCATCCGCCTGCCGTCGCTCACGCGCGCGCGGTCCGTTCGTCGGCCTGTGCTTGCGTGCTTGGCATTCGCCCATGAGCTCGCGGTCGGTGTGTATTGCGCGCGCCACAGCCTGCCCGACGTCGCCGTCGCTGATCTTTTGCTCAGCGTGTGGGGTCTGTTCGTCGGCCATGCGTGCGTGCCGGGCAGTTCTTTTCCGCCATCTGATCACTCCCGTTTGCACTCGCCCTCCGACCGTCCTCGTTGGTTGCCGCTCAGCTCGCGCCCGTGGTCTGCTCGTCGGCTGGGCTTGCACAGGGGACCTTTGCCCTGCGTGCTAGCGGTCGGCGGGTGTTGTGCTGCGCGTTGCCGTGCGCTCACCATCTCACCCTCGCGCATTCTTCGCTCACGCACGGGTAATCCGTTCGTCGGTCGCGTTTGCGTGCTGTGCATTCGCCCGGCGCGCTCGCGGTCGACGTGCGCGTCGTGCTTCACGCCGCCGCGCCCTGTGACTGTAGTCAGTGCGCTCGCTCGCATGCGTCTGCACTCACCTTTCCCCGATGTCCATCCCTGGTCCATCCTTAGCTCTCCCGCACGCCATCCGTTCGTCGGCCGTGCCCACACGCAGGGCATTGGCCCTGCGTGCTCGCGGTCGTCGTGCATTGTGCTGCACGTCCTGTGCCTGTGTTTAGCTCGCTCGCTCGCATATGTCTGCACTCACGATGCCCGTCTCCATCGCTGCCTTCGGTACACTCCCCCTCGTTCTCGTCACTTTGCTTGTCCGTATCCTCCTCGCCTTTTTTCCAGATGGTCCATCACTTGCTGTTCGTTGTTTTCTGTGCCTTAACCGCTGCACTCCCGTGCCAGGGCGAGAAACCGATTTGAGTGCTGCGCGCGGATTCATCAGCTAGGGCAGGAGATACTGTAGTATTAGTTGAGGGCTGTCTTGAGGCTGTCGCGCTGCAAGAGCACGCTCAAGCTCGGGCAGCGCTCGGTGGTCGCTTCCGCGCGCGCGTTAGCGTTGGGCGAATCAGAATTAACGTTTGTCTCTGGCCAATAGGAAGCCTGAATTGTCTTTGTCTCACAGCCAATGGGAGCGTGCGAAGAATCCACGCCTCTTGTAGAGTAGATATACCTGCATATTCCACATATTCGTCGATCCTTCCAGTACGTTCTACATACATCGCCATGAGTACTTACTTCACTAGCTACTTAGTAAGCAAGCTAACTAATCAATCGTCACAACTTGCGTCTACAATGGCATCAGGCAGTGGCTCGCATGCACTCAGCGAGTTCTTCCTTCAGACATCGCGCCTCGCGACAAGGAGAACCGATCTAGTCGACGTGCGCATGGAAGGCAGATTGGCAGGGACCGAGGCACGGATGAACGACCGAGCACCTTTGGAAACGAGCGTCAGTCAGGCGGATTCGGAGCAAGCAAGGGCGTACCGGAACAACGGATCAGACGGAGACGGCGCTCGACTGGAGGCAAACACAGAGCGGGGACGAGCAAATTGCCTTGCAAGTGTCACTGTGTCTAGGGCACTCAAACGGTCAGGCGAGTGATAAGGCGCAACAGGACAGGGAACTGTAGTATCGGGGTGCGAGTGATACCGACACTGAGTATGAAGACATGCGCGCGAGAGAAGGGCGTGCAAGCGAGTGGACACGAGTGCCCATGCTACAGGACGGGGTCGCACGGGAGCATATCAACGTTGCAGGGCAGGATGGTCAAGCAGTTCACGTGGAGTCTGTGTTATGCCCAATCAAGGTGTCAGTGGAGAACGATTCGAGCAGAGATGTGACCAACCTCGTATATGGCCTGTTCCGGGATCTGGATGGAGCAATGGTAGGCAACCACCCGCGTTTGCAGGATCACAAAGCAGAGGAAAGGCGACCGTCCAGGTGCCGAAGCGGAGGTAGGACTCACGGGCAGAATCACTACGACAAGCGCCGTGTATCCAAGCATCAGCGGGTTTCCAGCAACTGGTCTTGTTTGGCGATGAGCTAGCTCAGGGTCGAGGGATGAGGGAGACTGGACGCGCCACATGTAGTTGACCATACGCGGATCTGCGAACACCGGAGGCTTAGCGACACCGAGCAAAGGAACCACGACTTGAAAGACTCGAAGTAGATGCCTCCGTGATCCGACAGGCAGAGCACGCGGCGAAAGTTGTAGGCAGCGAAGGACGGAGTACCAGGCCCTAGCGAGTACTGGAAGCAGGACCACGACAAGGACAGGGACACGGGGCCAGCTTGTGCCAGAGAGGAAAGGCGGAAGTCGGAAGATCCTGGGCAGCGACGAGACGCATAAGTACTCCAGGGCAAGCACCATGGTTCACATCCAGAAGAGCGCACTGCAGAGGTGTCACGGGGTATCAGACGGGTTGCGACAGCGACGTCAATGTGCAAACGTACCGACAGGGGCCCTATGCAAGTCGACTCGGGCTTCATGTCAACTCCACGAGGTATAGCGGGCGTGCGGACGAAGGCAAGAGACGTGGCAGACCTCCGCAGACCTACGAAGACCTACAAAGAGATACATTCAGGCGTGATGGCACGGCGACGGAGGAGCTTGACATGTGTGAGCCGCAGGAGCGACGGACAGAGGAAGTGGGGTCATTCGGACAGGACCTGATTCGAACGTCAGAGGTCGTGCTTACCTACAAGATCTCTTCCACCGATTAGTACGTGTATCCTAGACATTCACCTCCCTCCGCGAGACCTGCCCTGCGTGTGCAGGAGCACGCGACGAGCGCATTCGAGCTCGGAGTTGACGATGCGCCGCCTTCAGGCACGCAGCGGAGCGGTGATGGATGTGACTGCGGCTGAGAGCGTGCTGACTTGGCGAGGATCCAACCAGGCACCATGGCCGCGATGGACAGAAGAGAGTACGACAAAAATTTGGCACGCGAGGTTCACAAGCAGTTACGGGCAGAGGAGGTGGAGAGAAGACCTGCGGCGAGAGACGATCGCTCAGGCGCCCGAACCACAAATACTGGCGCCTCGCTGGTCACTCAAGTCGAATATTTGGCGCGCACATTCTCGCAGCTCCCACGTCTCCTCAATATTAGTACTTACCAGTAGCGCGGAGCCATTGTTCTCCGGAAAAGGTGTTGCATAGGCTTACCTAATCCCGAGAACAACAGAACAACAACTTTCGGAGTATTCCGGTGATAGAGTTCAGATTCAAGGTATAAGAGAAGAGTATTCTCGGAATATCCATATCATATCCCCCTTGCCTTGATAACATCTCTCTGCTTTTCCGAAACTATGGTCGGCACTCTATCCTTCGGATCTTTCTTGTGTATGTATCACTCTGGACTTATGTCCCTTCCCGACTATCCTCCAAATTCCATCACTCCTGAAGCCTTGTCCGGTCTGGATCATCTTATCTGCGACCTTATACAAGGTCCTTTCGATTGGCGTGGAACGGCATCCATTTTGTATTGGTTCATCTTCGTAAGTCTGTTCCTTTCCGAACTTTTATTAGATTACTTACTTACTCGTTCTAGAACGAAGGTTTTGGCGAGATTTTGAATACATGGCTAGCCGAACAAGAGGAGGCCGGTATAGAAGTCACTCTCCCCCCTTGGCTCAATGCGACTTGGGACTGGCAATTCAGCGAGCCCGACGAGGAAGGTGCTGTTCCTACGTCGCTATCGAGACTGTTGGAGCAACGGAACCTGTTTTCTGCGGATGAAGTGATGTCCGAGGAAATATCGGAATTGACTAAAGCATCTTTTATGCTTGCATCCTTCGGTAAAGCTTCGGCTGTGATTGTTTCTACATATCTCACTCTAACAATCTTCCTTTCTCTTCGTTAGATTTATTCCGACTGCGTTTACCTGAAGACTTCAATTCCGATCTCGTTGAAATGAGATGGTACATACAAAATGAATGCGGAGCAATCCCCGATTCCTGGATCGCTGACTCCACTGCACCCATCGGAAATGAAGATTTTGCCGGAAATGTGGAGGCTGAGAATTCGACTGAAGACGAGGGCTCTTCTCAAGAGAAGACTAGTCGGAAAAGGAAGTACGACGATTCCGATGAGTTAGAGATACTCGTTCAAGGCGACTGGTCAGGAGGTCAATGGTTCTTGGTTTCTAACGGAACTTTGATAATCAATGGAAAGGAATTTCCGACCTCGGTAAGTAATCTGACTCCTTTCCGAAGCAATGCTTTAATACTGTCAACTAGGATGCTGGTGACGATCGCTGTGACCGTTGTAAAAAGAGCAAGACAGTTGTATGTGTTCGGAAATGGCCGTCCTCTTCTTGCGAGAAGTGCACTTCTTCCAAGTTGAAGTGTTCCTTGTCTTCCGGACTGCGCGGCTCCGTTGAAGTGCGATACAAGGCTATGATAGAGAAATGCCTCGAATATGGCTTTGACGCTCTTGAACATCGTTTTGGTAAGTTTCATTCATGATTTCCTTTTCCAAAGTTTCTTTAGCAACTCTATCCCTTTTAGTACAAGAGCTTGCCGGACTTGACAGTCCCGTTTCCGCAGCCTCTGTATTGCCTCCTCCTTCTACTGAAGTTGAGTCTAGTGTTCCAGGCAAGTTTCGTCCTTTGCGGAAAACTCAAGAACTGATGTTCCCTTCGGAATAGACATTGATCCCGATGATGCCGTCGAGGATCGTCTCTTGCCGGAAGTACTAACTAGACTTCGCGACCCAGCTCGCCTCAGTGCTGATAATGGCAGAGCTGGCCCTGGTCCCTCGACTAGGGAAGCTCAGCTTGAAGCGCGCTTGAACGAGCAGCAGGCCGAGATTATTATACTTCGGACTGAACTCAAACGTCTTCAAGATCAAGAACACCATCGTCGTGACCGAAAGCGAGCGAGGAAAGAGGCCAAGCGAGGAAAGGGTGATAGGAAGGGTAAAGGGAAGGCTCGTAATGAATACTATTCTGACGACGAATGAAGTAATAATGTCATTGAATCCTGCTTTCTTAAGACCCACTGCCGAGTTGTACTTGTATCTCTATCAGTGTTCGGAAACAATGTTATGACATCTCACAGTTGATCTCTTCTGAACGTATCACTACTGCTTCCGAATGATACTACATTGATTTCCGAAACCTGAAACCTAAACATACATTACACATTTTGACTCTAGGCACTTCGGAAAACACTTCGGAAAACAATTGCCACGTCGGCAAGAAATTGTACAATCCAGAGACTTCAGGACACATCAATATTCATTACTGTCGCTGCCGTTATGTATCTACCGGTTGGCCTATTACCGAGTTTATAGTACTTTCCTTAGGCTTATTTGTGACCAGATGTCTTCAAAAGTCTTTACTGGGTTACTATAAGCTCGGAATACGTTGACACACTATTCCGACTAGTAGGCAATCTAGGAGGGAAAGACAGTGTCATGCACTGGTACACTGTTTCCGAGGATTTACGAGGCTGTGCATTTTTCCATGCCTTCAAGGGAATGCCTTGTGGGTCACAGAGCACATCCTCAGTGATCAGTGGCTATCTCAGGCATACACAGCCTAGCCTCGCGAATTTATTACTGTTTGAGGCTGTGAGCTTATTGTTTATGGTGTACCGTTTGATGCTTTATTATCCCATATCAAAAAGATTGTAACTCACCATATCAAAAAGTTTCGCGACCTCGCTCCATCCAAAAATTTTGCAACTCGCTCCATCTAAATGTTTCGCGACTCGCTCAATCTAAATGTTTTGTGACTCGCTCTATCAAAACATTTTGCGACTTGTTCTATCTAAAAGTTTTGCCACTCGCTCCATCTAAAAAAGTCTTTGGTGCCTCACCGCAGTGATCTATCAAATACTCCCTCACTATTGTTCTCGGCGCACCAAATGACGCGCTCAATGCGGCTGACAACGCGCTCGACACCGAGGGCGTCGAGTCACGAGCCCGCGTCGACGGTAAGCGCTCCCGAGTGCTAGCGCCTAGCGCCCAGCTCTCGACTCGTCTCTCACCTACTTGGGCAACCACCACAGCCACCCGACCCTTCGTCAAGACACTCGCGCTGTCCCAACGGGCAGGCGAGTTCAAGTCCACGGCCGCCTAGCTGAACTTCCGTCAGTTCAGCTAGGGGCCCCTGACAACCCTGCGCGCGGTACAAGACCGCTATCTCCTTCCTCTCCCTGGCCTCAAATTCCACCCGGACCTCCACTTGACCCTCTCACCTCATCTCTCGATTCTGGCGACCTCTAAGTACCCGGATCTTTGCGACCCAGGCGACACGCAACAAGGCCGCCCGGCCCAGGACTCGCACGACGCGCGTGCAACTCCAGCGCCGAGCAACAAGGTCGCGCAGAACTCAGAGAACGAGGCGCGAGGGAAGGAGAAGGAGGAAGGGAGAGGAGGGGAAGGGCACAGGGCGAGCAGGAAAAACGCGCACGAAGGCTCGCACGCAGGTACGCCCTCGCTGGCCGTCCCCGCCTCGCCGTTCCCGCTTCCAGTGCCCGTGCCAGCAGGCGTATCGACGAACGCGAAGTTCGTCGTGTGCTCTGCTGGCCACGGCATCGGCACTTCCGCCCTCTGGGACGACCTTATGGTCATAACCGGTGTTACACGCGGCAACATGGCGGACGCACACAACCGCGCGTCCGACGTGCCCGTTCTATCGACAATGCCCGCGCCAGCAGGCGTACCAACGAGCAAGAAGCCCGTGGTACGCTCTTCTGACCACGAAGACGGCTCTTCCGTCTTCCGGGACGATCTCACTGGTCGTACCCGACGTTCCGCACGGTAGCACGTTGGACGCGCATTGCTGCACGTCTGGCGTGCCCCGTCCATGTACGATCTGCCACACAGAGGGTACGTCGAGCCTACTGCTCAACGTACACTCTACCGACGAGAACAACACCGCGCTCGTGGTACTCGCAAATGTACTCGGCGCGCTCGTCGACCTCTCATGTGCGAGCGACGGCACCGGGGTACACCCCACGACGGTCACTACTGTGCTCGCCGCATATCCCAAACTGCATGTACTGGGGTACGTCGAGCAACAGCTCGTTCGACGTACGCAGTATGAACCTAAATTCTTCACCAATGGCGGAGGAACCGCCCACGATTCTTATTTTGAATCTCATGGTATGCGACATGCAGGTACAATGCGAAAGCCTCCGACCGACGTGCAGAGAAGCATGTCGATCGCCACACCAACGTCCGGCATGTCCATGCCATCCCCTATACCCAGCGACACGGTCAGCGCACGATCAAGTGCGCTCGCCGCGTCCACCTCCAGCATCAAGATACGACTCGGACCTCTGCTTACGCTGAGGCCCTCGCTCAGCGTATACGACATGACCTCCACGCGGGAGACCATGTCCAGCGATGCAGTCGGCGCACGATCAACAGACCACTGGCACACACCCTCCCACCTCGTTGGGGTGCCCGGATTCTCGCTCGTCCTTCGCTAGCACGCTCGCCGTTCATCGGCCGTGTCTGCGTGCTGGGCATTCGCCCAGCACGTTCGCGGTCGGTGTGCGTGTGGTACTGGTCCGAGTCCACGCCCTGTCCCCTTCCGTACCCACTTGCATGCCTGCTCGTCCCCCCGCGTGCGTGCGTTCGTCGGCGGTGTCTGCGCGCTCGCGGATGATGTGCGTGTCGTGCTGCACGACGCCTCGTCGTCCACCCACCCTTGCACCCATGCTCGCGGTCCACCTGTTGCGCCCTGTGCCTATCTGCCCACGTGTTCGTCCGTTCACTCACCTGCCCGCTCATCCACCCGCTCATCCGTTTCGCAATTCGCCTGTCCGCTCTCCCGCCTCGCCGTCCACGCCCCCTGCCCGTTCTCCGGCCTGCGCATGCATGTCGTCGTCCGTTTGCATGCCCGCCGGCTCGTCCTCTCGCTCGCCTGCCCGCCCGCCCGTCTGCCCAGTGCCCGCCCGTCTTCTCGTTTTCTGGGCCCATCGACCCGCGAGCTCGTTCGGTCGTTCGGTCGTCCGCTGTGGTCGCCCGGTCGTCTGATCGCCCAGTCGTCTGGTCGGCCGGTCGTCTGGTTGTCCGCTCGCCGTCCCACTTGCGAGCCTGTGCGCCCGTTGGCCCACCTACCTGCCTGCCTGCGCGTGCGTTCGATGGCCACGTCTGCGTGCTGGGCATTCGCCCAGCGCGCTCGTGGTTGCCGGGCGTGTCGTGCTGCACGACGACGCACCGACACACCTCCACCCGTCCTCCGCCTGCCTGTCCTTCCACTCGTCTACCGTCCACCTGTCCGCCGGCCACCTGTTCTCCCGCTTGTTGGCCTTCCTGCTAGCTCGTGCGCGCGTTCGTCGGCCGCGTCTGTGTACTGGGCATTTGCCCCGCGCGCTCGCAGTCGACGTGTGTTGCTGCACGCCCACCCGTCCGCCCGTCCACCCGCCCCTTGTTCGTCGGCCATGCCTACACACAGGGCATTGGCCCTGCGTGCCCGCGGTCGTCGTGCGCGTCGCGTTGCACGTCGCCGCGTCCTGCGCCTGCCGTTAGTGAGCTCACGCGCGCGTGCGTCGACTCACCTGGCCCTCGCCGTCACTCTCGCTCTGCTGCCCTCGCCCTCGCCCGTCCGCCCGTTGTCTAGTACGCTTGCCATCCTTGCGTGGCTGCGCCCAGGCCCGCGGTGTTCGTCGGCTGCGTAACGTGTTTGCGCGTGGTGCCCTTGCCATGGGAGCTCGACACTGTGCAGGTCTCCCGGGTGGAGCTTGAGGACCAGGCAAGGAAGAAGGAGGCAGTCTTGTCCGCGCGGAGAGTCGTCGGATGCTCCTAGTGCAGTCGGGCGGTCGGTGTAGTTGCCTAAATCACAGTGAGAGATGAGGTGGTGGTGGTCGAGAGCAGCGCTCGGAGCGCCCACCGACGCGGGCTCGTGACGCATAACACCCTCGGTGTCGTAGTGCATCGTCGGCGCTGCTGAGCGTGTCGTTCGGCGCGAGAACAATATATTGAGCGAGTAACATACAATGGTGGGCACCAAAAACCTTTTTAGATATGTTGGCAAAAACTTTTTAGATGGAGCGAGTGGCAAAACTTTTAGATAGAACAAGTCGCAAAATGTTTTGATAGAGCGAGTCACAAAACATTTAGATTGAGCGAGTCGCGAAACATTTAGATGGAGCGAGTTGCAAAATTTTTGGATGGAGCGAGGTCACGAAACCTTTTGATACGGTGAGTTACAATCTTTTTGATATGGGATAATAAAGCATCAAACGGTACACCATAATTGTTCACTTTGAACGGTCTCAGAAAGCAGTGTACAGAGCCCTCTACTATATTCCAGTATTTTCTGAAGTATTTCTTGTAGCTAGAAGGCTGTGCACTTAGGAAATGCATAGCAAGTCAGAACATCTCCATCGCTGTACATTGCTGTTACCTTTGTCGTGCTCATAGCTTCGCACTGGGTGTCACTGAGTAACATACCTTTATTGACATTGACTTAGGTCTGTCGGTAAAGGTCCGGTAACTGCCACTGAAGCTGTACTAAGCGTGACACTTCAATTCCGAAAGGAGGCTTTCGGAATGCCTCCTTTCCGGAATTACTGACTGGCATACTACTCCTCTGTATACTGGTTTCATCATACTGTTATTCCGCTTTTCACTCGGAAAAGCACAGTAACCAATCTAATAGAACACTCTATGGAAAGACAATCCTTACCGAGATTGGAGGTTCTCTCCGATTCAGGGATTAAGGGCTGGCTGGGTACTGCGGACTTGTACATCAGCACTAGGTGGAAAGTGCTGACCGAGTTGTTGTTATTGTGATCTGTAGTCACCCGTACTGCATTCCCTTTCCTTGAAGTTCTAGTTGAAACTAGAGGCAATCCTTACTCCAAACTCCCTTTCCGACATTACCAAATGATTCTCGCTTTGTTACTATCACTCATTAGTACTTCAGTAATATGCGGCGGTGGACAGTGCTGTGACCAGCAAACATGCCACCCCCGGCGGGCCAGCAGGCCCAGCACTGTGCACTGTGTGTGTGCCGCAGGCACCTCTGTTTTAGCTAGTGCCTAATC